TTAAAGTGCATCCCAGAGACTGAGCACCATTTTTGCGCGTCGATGCGCCTCACCGGAATGCTCAGTCCGTTTACTCTGGAACCCGTCGGGGAGTTTTCAAAAACATGCCCGTGAAAGAAAGGCAGGCGGCCCTGGGTTTGATATCCAGCAGTAGGCGTCAGAAGGCAGCACATAAAAACACCCCAAATCATGTTGATGTCAAGTTGTGATCCTCCACGCGACTCAGCGCAGCGAGGAGAAAATCAATCAGAAAGCAAAGAAAAACACTTGAGAAAGGTTTTCCGTCATAGTTCTCCACGATCTGATCCGTCCTGTGAACTTAACGCCTCTTCATCCTGGCAGATCCTTCCCCTGGCTCCATGCAGCACGGCAGTCCACAGCGCTGCAGGCAGCTGGCTGTGATCGTACCCAGCGTTCAGCACCACAGCGCCGGACAGCGCCAAGCGCGGGGGCGTGGCGGCGCGCGGGGACGGAGCTCTTCGGTGAACCCCACCCAGCGTGATGGTCAGAGGGTCTCCGCCTCAAACCCGTCCACAGGCGGCTGATTGAGCCCGTGCGCGCGCAGCGAGAGGTTTCCTGTCTGACACCGTCTGTTGCAAATCCGCTCTGAGTAAAGAAGTGTTGATGGAGGGGAAATCACTCATCCTGCTGTCCAGAGGAAGAACATGTGCTCTTGCGCCCATCTGTCAGGACTCAAACAGGGCTGCCTTGCTCAACAACATCACCTCCCCGCTGATTCAACAACCCTCTCCTGCTCTCAGTCCTCTGGAAACTTGTGGTTACACATCACTTTGCAGCCTCCTGCCCACACAGTCATCTCGTCATATGTAGCCTGACAAAACTACAAAATAGTGGAAAATGGTTCAATATAAATGCAAATGATGAGATCTGGGCTGTTAAAGTGTGTAAACATGATGATGTAAGACAGCCCGCTCTGCACAGCTCCATAGGTCTCTGCAGCTTTGATTTATGCACAGCAGAGTTCAAATTAACATTGTCACCCTGATTGCTCCTCCTTCCTCGCCCCACTCTGCCAGCATGCTTAACACCCAGAGCACTTTAAACCTAATCTGTCGGTGGCTTCTGCTAATTCCCACACTGCACACTTCCCATTCCCCTCACCTCTTCCTGCGTGCGGAGTCAGGAGACTAAATATTACACAGGCGGACGGCTGCAAACTGTCACAGAGATAAGGAAATAATGGACTGTGAGCAGGGCTGCACACTCCATTGAGTTTGTCTCCCATGTCATGTCAACCTTTCTTTTGCATGTGCATGGATCGATATTCATGTGCGTTGGGGGTGTGATGTTCTGCTGGACTAGTAATTCAATGCCAAAGATGCTCCTCATCTCATACATGAGGATACATCTGCAGGCTATTCAGTTTGAAAATTCATCAAAGCTCCCTCTGAAAGATCCTTATCAATTTGAAACTACAATCCATCACTGCAATTTTAGCCGAACCCACTCTCTGCAGCAAACTGTTCTTTTTCAGGCAATAACTCTGGTAACTGGCAGTGAGCCCCGAGACAATTTTAAATCACAGCCTGCCTGCAGCTGGAGCACACAGCTCATATTGGCTGATCTCTGTGGTCTTTAACGTGGCAAAATCTGTGGGCGGTGTCACCGGGACACATGAGCAATCCTACTCTCACTGGTGTTCCTACAATCTCTGACCTGAGGAGGGAAAAGCACTTAAAAAACACACGAGCGTGCACCAAAACAACCTGGAACAGAAAGTGACAGGCAGCCTACGATGGGACCTGACCTCACATAGCACCACAGGTATTGTCGTTTAAGGTGAAATTTCTAAAATAGAAAGTGTCTGAGAGGACTCTGAGAACTCAATCTGCTCTGTAACTTCTCCTCTTTGAACTTCCTAAGTGCCTCATGAATGCAAATCAAATTCTCTCCTTTATCATGTTGTCTCACATGCTGAAATTCAGCGTGACTGCCAGCTCAGGAGATAGCTGCAGCAAAGGCTAATTCAATCACAGGGCCAGGCCAGAGTGCGAGCAGAGTTTACTTCAGGGTTGCAGCAGTTATCTACTGAGATGAAAAGCCAACTTGCACCAAATAAAAACAACAAAGCTGTAATGAATATAGAAAAAATCATAAAACTGTCTCATCATCGCACATTTTCAACAGATAATCGAGAGCCTCAGGGCATCAAAGGAAAAAACTAAAGAGACTGAAGAGCACAGTCGACCAACATTAGAAAGCTTCATGCTTACTTAATGAATAATTGACTGAATCCATTCCCTTTACTCAAACACAGACAGATGCAGCTTCTGAAGGCAAAGGTTGTAGCCTTGTAGCAGAAAAACACTCCACCTTCGCTTTCTGCTCCACCGAGACCAAGCATGATGGGATTAAAGGGGGCAGGAGGTCCCATAATGTAACCTGCTGTAAGTTACTGTCTGTTGTTCTTCCTGGAAAGGTGGGTCAAAAAAAATAAATAAAACATCAGATTTCACCTGACTCTGCAAGGACGCACGTTACGAGATGGAACAGAGAAAGTTGTGTTAAACACTGATATTAACCAACTGAAAATATTTACATATATGATTGACTTAAGCTGCAGCAGTGACTGGCCACTCTTCAAAGTTTGCAAATATTCAACCAAGTACAATCACACAAAGTTTTTTTCCGTTATTCAACAGTGACAATGAAAGTTTTTTCTATTTTTACCAGTTTTTGTGTAAAATTGTGTTATTTTATTTATTTTTTCATTTTTTCAGTGGCACCAGAGCACATTTCTGCCATGGTGAGATAATGTAGAAAAAAAGAGTTTGGGCCTTGACATAAAAAAAAAACCCAAAATCAACAAAGAAAGACTTTCTGTAACAGAGGAAATGAATGGATGAGTTTTAGGTATTGAAGGTCCAGATCAAAAGAGTTTTATCTCATTCTTTAAATCTTTAAACCCACCATTCTGATACTTCTACTAGTCTTCTACTCATTTGATTCTATTGTCTAATAATGACTTTTATCAATTTCTTTTATTGTTTTCTTGTGACTTTTTCACAAGATTGTGAACTTTAATTTCATCACAACTTTGTATCTTCGACTTTTTATTACTTAAACTCCCAATAAAAACTTTGTGTGTCATCATTTAAACCCTTTTCATCATGAGTTTGTATCCTATGAATTTTTCTCACAATAATGAATTTTATTTATCTCATTGATGATTTTGATCTCAAAACAATGGCTTTATATTTAATTATGTTTTCATCTCAATGATGACTTTTTATCTAATACTGACTTACCTTATAATAACGTCTCTTTATCTAATAATGACTTTTTATTTCATAATGATGACTTATTTCATAAGGACTTAGTATCTTAACAGCTTTTAATGTCATAGTGATGACTTTCTTTGATGATAACTTTTTTCTATTTGTGACTTTTTTACTTGCATCTTATTCTGACTTACTACACCATAGTTTTATCTCTTATCCCAAGATAAAGACGCTTTTCTTACATCAGTGACCTTACATTAACATTTGGCCCACATTTAATTTCTTTCTTTTGCAGAAATTGGCATCTAAAGGGACATGTGCTGCAGGCTTGGGGGATTTTTATATTATATTATATATGCTCTACAAAAACACAAATTTAAAACCACACAAACCTTTACAGATATACCTCTGTGGTTTGCTTATATTCCATTACAACAAATTTCAACATTGAAAGGAATCATTGTAACTCTGTCCTCTTCCATTAAAAAGGAGAAAAAAATGACGAAAATTGTATTCTGATGAAAGTAATAAAACATTAACCACACTCTGTTTCGTCTACAGCCAAGAACACTCTTCTTAGAATTATGAATGAGATTGATCCATGAAGTGTGTTTTTTAGACAAAGATTCAACATTGAAAAGAACAATCGTAACTCTGATATTGAAGCTTTAAAGCATCTGCTTTTTGCTTGTTAGCTTACAAGAGCCCCTTGGGACTCATTTCAAAACTGGATCTCTGAAGGGACTCTTACTCACTGAGTTTTGAATAAAATAATTCAATATTTGGTAGTTGTATTGTAGATGAATAAGGGAAATGATGGAAAACACTTTGATTTTTTTGGCAAAACCGTTTCTCCACAAATGTGGGTTTATGAAATTCAGACCACTGTTTTATATTTTCACAAATGAGTTTATAAAAAAAAAAAGAAAAAAGAAATAAAAAAACGAGTCGAGGAAGCCCTGATTATTTATATACCTTTACATATTTTTAATTTAGACCTCTGGACCTTTTTTGAATGTTTTGTTTCCGTGTTGTACTGTGAGAGGACCTGCTGCTGACTCTGCTGACCTCCTTAAGTGTTTGATCTCTGTAAGCGCGGGAACAACTGAAATTTGGACCTCTGGATCTCAGCGGCAAAAGGAAATTCAATCTCATCTATCACAGTTTTTCTCCATCATGTCCTTTTCACAAACTTTAACAACAAAATGTCGATAGACTTTGAGAGTTTGGTATTTGACCATGCAAAGTAGCTCTGCACGTGCAGTTAGCCCTCCATTGGCTCATCAGTTGAAAACTCACCTCTGCAGCTTTAATATTTAACATGGAAAGTCTTCTTTAAAAAGCTAGTGATAGGATCGATTAGTTCCTTTTAAAATCTGAGATCCATGCTAGGTCAAACTTCCAACTGCCCACCTCACAGAGATCCAAGTGTGTCTACAGCCAGGTCCTTCTCAAATGCTATGATATCCAACTACATATTGTTGTCTTTACATTATGTAGTTGGATATCATAGCATGTTGCACAGCAGCACCATATTCTGACTTACTGTAAAATGGAAGACAGGTAGCTTTTCTGGCGATGAAGTCCAAGTGTTTCTGTGACATCCGGGAACTTTTCTCCCAACAGAGTGTTGGCCAACATGAGAACCACCACTTGATCAACATGGCAGTTATCAAATTTATACATGTCACATGTAAAAGAAAAAAAGATACAGCAAGTTGTTAGAAGAGTTGAATGGCTTAATCAGCGTTGTATCATCTCCTCGTATAGAGGCTTGGGTGAAACAGATAAATTTAAAGACACGTAGATCTTACGCACTATAGCTTCAAGAAAAGAATCTAAGAGGGAAAAATGTTTTGCTAAAACGAAATGTCTTCAGTCTCTTTTTAAAACAGTCAGCGGATTGTGGTGCTCTCAAGGTTTCAGGGAGGGCGTTTCACAGGTGTGGGGCAGCAGCACAAAAGACCCTGTCTCCCATGGTCCTGAATCTGCTTCTGGGGGTGAAGAGGAAGTTTGAGTGAATGGAGCGGAGGGAGCAAGTTGTGTAATTTACCGACTGGCAGTAATAAGCCCAGTTATATTAAAACTGAAAAAAAAAGAAGAAGAAGGCAGTATAAGTTGAAGAAAATCTGTTTCGACTTTTTTCTTCTATAGAAAAAAAAACAAAAAAAAAACATAAACCCTCTGGACATAATAAGAAAGTGATTCAGAACTGGATTGATGTGAGTAATCAATAATAGTATTACTATTAATAACTTCTTATAATTTCTCATTTCTTGTCCTTGTACACACCTGTTCTGTTTCAGCTATAATATTTTCTTCATATGGGGAAAAAACCTTCAGCTGACACTCACCTAGCTGTGGCTGTGCTCTAAAATCCGTTCAAGTATAAAAATATATCACCCGGGCCCCAGTAAGATGTCATAAAGTTAAGTTGTTAAGCTGTGAGGTAAAGTTTATCAATGAATGACAGGAATATCTGAGTAAACAGCCAGCTCTGCATACACTACCTTCACCTGTGCATGTTTAGAGAGAGCATTTATAGAAAGCCCACACGCTCCCCTGGCAGAACAGCAAAGATCCATTTCTGGAAACACTGTGACACTGACAGGAGCAGCCGCTCTGTACTGCTGTTGATTGTAGTGTTCCTGTTTAGATGGGCCCTTCAGGACATTTTCCCTCATCACAACCTGAAGGCAAAAAGCAGTTAGAGGAGCTGGATAAACATAAAGGCATTTCCCTCATGTATTAGGTACGGCTAATTAGATTTGATCTGTGATCCCCTTAAGGCTCCTACCACCTACTGTAGTATTTAAGCAGTGCTGTAGAAACCACAGCTGAGTATTAATAGAGTTATTAATTATGAAGCTACGTGCACAAGCAGGTTCAGAATTTATACTCACGAATAATTATGCAGAAGAGGTAACTTCCCATCACAATCAGGTCCTGAAAATGTCAGGTGTGCAGCAAAACAGCAACAAAACCAAACTGTCTCATTACCTGGCGTCTATTTAGCCTTTCACTGAGAATGCCACAGCTCATAAAGGCTGACTGAAGACCCAGGGAGTCAGATCAAATGAGAGCAGCAAATTGTACTTTGAAGAAAAAAAAAAGGCAAAAATAATTTAATGAGTAATGCATGGCCTGTTTTGTTAGAAATAAACTGCACATCTTCGGGGCCACGGCTCGTCATGGGAGCACTTTCATTATATCTACATTGTGATTAGCGGAGCCTGAGGTTGCTTCAGTGATTAGCACGCTTAGAAATGATCACTGATTTGAACAGTTTCTCGTTTTAGCCTCAAACAATCATGACTTTGTGCTGCTAGCACATTAAAAGATTTCTTACATCATCAAAAAAACGCAGGAGACAAGCAATCAGAAAATAAAAGAAATTAAATTAGTACAGAGCGTTCTGCCTGACGGAGAGGTGAGTGTTATGAAAGAGAGAGTGAGGATGTTCAGTTAGAAAAACAGTCAAGACGGTGAACATTACCTTCCTTGCACAATCAAACCCCCTCATTCTGCATGCTGTTAATTATCCCAGCAGCCCCAGCCATTAGGCAGGTTTCCATTACTCGCCCAGTTCAAGGCTGTGAACTAATAGAGTCAATTCAATAATCTGCTATTTATGAGACTGCCAGGATTATGAGAGACCTGTTTGTGGAGAATATGAAAAATCTTGGAGCCGATAGGACCAATCATTTCAAGTACACGGCTTAGTCTTCCAATTTCATTTATACATGGGACTCAAATAAAAGACCCACCACCACCACCACCACCGCCTCCACCTCCACTACCATCATCTCCACCGCTCTCATCAGCCATACTGGACTATGTATACACCACTATATCCAGATTTAACCATCTGTTCCTCATTATTAAGTCCTGTTCTATGGAAACCTCGAGCAGACATGCATCCATAACACATATCCGAACATTTTATTCACCAACATGTGTCTATAGCTGTGTCCCAATTCAAGGGCTGCAGCCTGTGAAGGCAGTATTCAAGGACTAATTGCATCACAGAGCAGCGTTGAAGGCTGTCCTATTTCAAAGACAACTCCAAATGCTGCCGATAAATGCGTCCTACTTTTCTGGGCTGGGAATGCGGTATCAAGTGGATTCTTTACAGCCCCACTCATCCAATAATTCTGTGCGTACTAATGTAATCATGGTAGCAGACTCTCCAACAGCAGATTAATACAGAGTTCAATATCAGTATTTGGTCTTTACTCAGTAGTGCCCTGTACAAATGTTATAAAAGATGGACGCATTGGAATTTGAGATTATCTCAAAAATTTTGGTGATTGTAAGCAATGTTAGCTAGTTAGCCGAGTAGCCAAATAGCCACCTGATACTATTTGATAAGAGCAGCACTTTGTGATGCTGTTGTCGGGGCAGCGATGTAAGTGTGCAATTCTCTGAAAGCTAGATCTTTTCAGTTCAGACCAGCCTGACTGGTCTATGGAACTACCTGATTCTTCGAAGGCTGCGAAGGAAGTTTTGGCACTATGGCAAATTAGCCTATATAAAAATGTAAGCATAATCCAAACTTTGATAGAAGTGGCCTAATGCTTTTGAACTAGAATCTCAACTTTAATAAGAGGGCTGGTATTATACTTTGTTTCATATTTTACAGAAAATATTGATTTAGATGGCTGAAAGTCAACACTAAATGTGTGCAAACCTTTATACAGTAAGATAAACCTGTGTTGGAGTAACCCTAGGGTAAAAAAACAGGATGCTCAGAACAGTGTGTTCAAAATGTCACATGAGAACTGAATGAGATCCACACCAGGTTTGCTGTATTGTAATTCCTGATGATTATGCTGCTTGATATCATTTGTGTAATGCTCAACAGTCTAAAAACCTGTATGAAAAATAAAAGTTCTAGTCTGTCTGACATTTTTCATTTTGCAGTGCATGAGTGAGTCTATCAATTTTTACTCAGAATTCAGTCCACACTATTAAACAACATACTCACTTAAGTGCACTACTAAATAAATAGTGAGAGATCAAGCGAGTGACCCAGCATGTCCTGAGTCTTCCCTGCAATCTTCTTCCAGTGGGACATCCAGGAGGCATCCTGGTTAGATACCCAAGCCACCTCATCTGAGTCCTCTCAACGTGGAAGAGCAGCAGCTCTGCTCTGAAACCTTCCCGGATGACTGCACTTCTCACCCTATCTCTGAGGAAAACCCCAGCCACCCTGTTGTGGAAACTCATTTCAGCTGCTTGTACCTGCGTACCTTCTCTTTTGGTCACTACCCACAGCTTGTGACCATAAGTGAGGGTAGGAACGTTGATCCACTGGTATGTCGAGAGCTTTGTCTATTGGCTCAGCTCCCTCTCTACCAAGAAAGATTGGTGTAGCGTCCACATCACTGCTGACGCCGCACCAATCTGCCTGTCAGTCTCCCGTTCCATTCTTCCCTCAGCTGTGAACAAGACCCTAAAATACTTAAACTCCTCCACTTGGGGTAGGATCTCATCCCCAACCTGAAGAGAACACACCATCTTTTTTCCGGCTGAGAACCATGGACTCAGATTTGGAAGTGCTGATTCTCATCCACACTCGGTTGCGAACCAATGCAGTGAGAGCTGAATGTCACATCTCGATGAAGCCAGCCATGACGCCAAGGATCAAATCATCTGCAAAAAGCAGTAACCCAATCCCGAGACCACCAAATCAGACCCCATGACATTTGTCCATATAACTGTCATGAACGGGATCGGTGACAAAGGGCAGCCCTGGTGGAGTCCAACCCTCACTGGAAACTAGTCCAATTTACTATCGGATACGCGTATCAGGCTCTGGCACTGGTCATACAGGGACCAAACAACCTTATTAGGGTGTCCGGTTCCTCATACTCAAGGAGCAGCCCCCACAGGATTGCCCAAGGGACACAGTTGAATGCCTTCTCCAGGTCCACAAAGCACACGTGGACTGGAGAAGACGTTTGAAATGGAGAAACATGATTAACTCAATGACAACAACTTTGTAAAAAGGCAACTGCTAAGGAGAGTTCTGGAATGCTGGGATCTGCAAAACTGGGTTCTGGAATGCTTTGAAGTGCCTTAAAGATACAGTAGCTGGAATTAGACCTTTTACACTTATCTGAGATAAATGAAAATATTTTGAGCTGCAAATCGTGTAAAAATACAAACATTTCACTTTCAGATGAGATTTCATACTGCTCTCAATGCATTTAAGCAGACAGGACAGAAGACCTCTTTGTCTCTTTCTGATCATGTAGGGCCTACAGAGAGTAAAGGCTCTATTTGTGCACATCAGGGGTGCAGAGTGAGAGTAGATTAAACATTAGTTTACTAGTCGTATATGAGTACATTAGGAATGGGACAATACACTTAAACTCACGATACGATGCACCTCAATATGCTAGGTACACGAAACAATACGTCACGATACGGTATCAAAAAAGAAAAAATATTACTGCGTAATTATTCATTTTTGTTTCAGTTGCAGTCAGGGAAATACAAGCCCTAACAGTTCGAACACAAAAATTAACACACACATGCACACACATACACTCTCTCTCTTTCACTTGATATGAGAAATAAGTTTTCAGGCTGTAGCCTACACATACACAGTTACACACACGCGCAGCACAAGTCAATTTTTTCCCCAATGAAAGTTACCTGGATTAAGTCCTGCGGCTTTCTCGCGTATCCGGGCGTAGACAGTCTCGCGTTGTTCATCATTCAGATGGGACAGGCTTCGGAATCTCTCACACTTTGTTTGGTTTCATTGTAAATTTCCGGGAAGACCTTCTCTGGAAAAATGTCCTCGGCATAGCATCTTAAACTTGGGCACCAGCACCTTGAACATTTGGATATATTCCCTGTTCTCTACCATGTTAAATTGAGCCATATGGTCAGCTCTGAACTCGCCAATGAGCCTGGTTATCTGTTTTGCACGCGGACTTGACGGGGGTAGAGTTGGTGTCAGTGCTTGGTTCATGGTCAGCTGTCCCTTTGGCAGGCTTGTTTTCTCTAGGGCCGTCTCCACATCTTTATGGTAAAGTTGGAGGTGGTGGTTCATGTTTATTGTGATAGAGGCGGTATAAAGCATGACGTTGTTGCCGTCTTTATCTTTTCTACGGGGAAGCCAAAATACTGCCACACAGATGACCTGTATCCCGGCGGTGCGTCCACGATTTCAACCTCATTCGACTCCATTGTTCGGCGGTAAGAGGGCGAGAAAGTCGGTACGGATAATTGCTAGTTAGCTGTAGCCTACACTGTTTCAGTCGCAACATGCGCGGTGACCTGACTGTGACGTGACGCGCTGCACCGTTCCCCGGATGTTTTCGCCCAGCAGATGGTGCTGCCAGCCTGCCACCATAGACTGTATGCCTGCCCCACACATAACACACACTAAATGATTTATATGCTACACAAATCATGTGGCAGTGCCATCTAATCTTCATTTCGCGATCCATTTTTTCAAAACTCGATGCGTATCGTCACAATTTGTATCGCGATATTTCGCCAAACGATATTTCATCCCATCCCTCGTGTACATAGCCAGTATACCACTAGGGTGACCCACTCAGGTATATCACCCTATATATTATTCCATTTTGTAAACACTTTAAATTGATTTGATATTTCAAGATCTTGACAAGGGATAATTTCTTAGTGTTTTAAACAAAATATTCAAATTTCCTCTAAAATATATAATAGTGAGAATACTCAGAAAACAGTTTGAATTTCACTCAATTTATCTAACTGAGCTGAATATGGGAAGGAAGAGTCTAAGGGTAAATAATGTCAAACTGAGTATGTCTAATGTTAGCAGGTCACCCACCTCAATAACAGTCCTCCTTTCAGGTTAGCATTCACGTGCCAGTGTTGGTTACACGTTGCTTTAGTGAGTTGTTGTACACTAATTTCACCAAACGCAAATTAACTTTTTCTTTTTTGTTTGTTTGTTTAGATAAGGATAGTGACAAAACTTACTGTGTTACCAGTTGCTATCTGTGCTTGTTTACATCAGGGTAGTAGAATGTTATAGCATCATAGCAGCAGCTGCAGCCCCAGTTATTGGTGGTTGGCTGTGGTCTAGCTCAAACCCAACAAATAATGAATATTAGAGGCCGAAAAAGATTGGAACTTAAACTGACCTCTATTTTTGGTGGTGGCTACAGAGAGTGACACCATCTAATCATTTAGTTGGCTAAAAATAACTTTGTTTTACCTGAAAAACAGAGGAACAAATCAAGATCTTGAGGAAACAAGGCAAACTCTCATATCATTAAGAAAACCAGCATCATCATCTTGAGATTGCAGGATAAGAAAGTTATGATCTTGAGAAATGTTCAGAAATTATTACAATAGGTAAACTACCCTCTTTATTGTTAGAGAGCTTCCCCCAGTGGGGAATCAGTAAAGTATGTCTTATCTTACCCTGAGATAACAAGACAATTAGGTCTGAATCTCAAGAAAACATGTGGGAACTCTGTGTCATTATGTATTTGTCTAAAGATAATGGGATATTGCAAGTTGAAATCTTGAGGAAAAACAACCTTGATGTACTGATGGGAAAGTGAGTGAATAAAATGTAAGGATGCATGTCCACTTCCCTTCTCTCCTGAAGCTCTTTTTAGTGCAAATCAGTGAGAACAGTCGGAGATGAGTCAGTGTCAGAGATTAAAATAGATCCATTTTATTCCTTTGTCTCAGAAAACACACTCAGCTCCGTCTCAGTCCTCCACTTCTTCAGATCCTCTGAACTCCACTCTTCATTTTCTCCCCCCTGCCCTGTTAAGTGGCCTCTTAATAATAAGAGCAACTCCAAATGGACATCCTGCTCATATATCATGAGTGGTACCCTCCAGTAGAGTTCCCTTATCCAGGCACAGGGGCTGTGGTTCATCATCTCTGTGAGGAAAAGCTTTAAACAGCCAGTTTACAGGCAGGGCCATTTATTCAAAGAATAATGAGGGGGGGTGTAACAAGCTTCCGGGAACACATATTTCACACAGCCTGCTGCAAAATTTGAGTTTATTTTTTCCAAAATAAAGGCACCCAACACTCATTTGAAATATTTTACACCCTCAGTAAATGCACCATTCATTACATTGACAAATTTAATTGGGAATTTAATTCCACTACAGTTGTGTAAGCAACATCTTTTCTTTTGTATCCCTTTTGTATTCCATCATTTAACATGTACTTTTGTTCCTTTACAAATGTGAGTATCTGAATTACAACGTTTTTTGACTCTAGGAGGCTGGAAACGTCCTTACCGCCGCTTTGTCTTCATCCCACTTATCATTCATCTCTCTGGCTTGTAAAATATCTTTACAGCAGCAGTAATGTCGATAAATGTCCCTTATTACAGCTTGTTCTGGCTCGTGTGTGAGTGAGAAGGCTCTCTGGCGCCCTCAGCTGTCCCTTCAGAGAACTGCAGGGTTTCACAACGCAATGACAGCAGCTTCAGTGGACTGGAGCGTTAGGAGTTTTAGGAGAAATAGATGAGAAAATAAAAATTCAAAATTGGGTTTTAGATAGAATCCCAGCACCCAGACTGTTGAATAATTAAAATGACTGTACAAGCCGATTTATAAAATATAAAATGGTTTAACTGCGGTGTAAAAGCTGAAGAAGGGAAATAAAGTGAGGATATAAAACTACAGTTTCAGAATTTTTAAGCAGAGAGGGTTATAAAGATATAAAATTTCATAGAGCTGGGGAAAACACTAAAATCCAATTTCAGATGTTGTAAATATTCTGACTGTAAAAAAGGATGGGTACATGCAGGAGCAAGCATGCCGTCTCTTTTCCTACCAAGACAGACATTTATCTTTATACAAGCCATTTGTTTTAAAGGTTGGGATGGTTTGTAAAATCAGTGCCGAGACAACATTTCAAATGCTCAAACCCCCCCAAAAATATTTGTTTTAATAAAAAAAAATGCTCATATTAAATTTTATATTTTGGAGCCTTTCCAGATGTGTAAGCCACCCATGGCATGGTCACCTACGATCCCTACGCTATCATGGATACTACCTCTGAACTGGGAGCTGATAATAAGACAGAGGGTCCCTGTTCTTGTTAGAGGATGCAGCATCCATTATTTCCAAAAAGAGTATTACATTCTGATTCATCAGCCCTCAGGGTTCAGGTCAAGAAAATCTCTTTATGTGATGTACAAACCCTAAAATTCAGTTTTAAGCAGCATCACGTCCCTTTTTCTATTGGGATTGGGCTTATCAAGAAAAACATTTTCAGACAACAACAAAGTTTAACAGTAAAAAGCCTGTTTAATTGCAGAATATATTGACAGTACAGTACAGCAATAAAAACACTGCCATATTGCTTCTATTTTACATGACTTACACAGCTGCTCTCCAGCTCATGAAACCAAACAGTGATACAGTAAAGATGAAAAACCACACACAGACAGGCTCACAGAGCACTGCACCCATCACTCTGCACTGACAGGACGCTGTGTTAACTGGGAAACACACAACATTTCTATAATCATAAGAGCAAGAACAAAGACATGGAGCATTCGATCCCTACGGCAGTGACAAGAGCGGGTCTATCAGGACAAACTGGGCAGAGACTGGTCACACTGGGAGCAGAGATTAAAAGACAAAATCTAAACATAAGAGAAGAATAAAAACCAAAAATATGGGTTACTTTATACGTACGCAATACATACATGACATGAAATGACTCAATATAGTCCATGGTCACTCTGTGAACTGGCCTTCATCCACCTCATCCTCTTTGTGTCTTGTACCTCGGTTGGTGAGTGCTGCTGTTTTTCACTACTTCAGTCTGTCAATAAGGACACAGCAGCTGCTTCCTCACCACCCTCCTCTCCCTCAGCTACCGCAGGATTCTGGGAGCAGACCTGTCGTCAGTTACTGTCTTACGCAGCCTCACCCCGCGGCGTATCGTCTTCAGCATATCCACGTCCCCCTGAGTCTCAAAGGACAGCTCCTGGGGGCCACACTGATCCAGCTCCCCAGGCAGAACGTTGCTGAAGGGGAAGTGACCCTCACCCAGGGCGTGGGCGCTAGCTACCAGCTCCCCTATCTTCTCTACCAGGCTGTGGCGGTTTGCAGCGAGCAGAGGGTCCTCCTCGGCACAGAGGGGGGCCTGCTGGGCATAACCAGTCCTGTCTCCACACCCCCATGAAGTATCGGGGAGGCTCATCCTCTTAGGAGAGGCCTTCATGTAATCTCCAGCTGCCGGGTCGTCGCTGTAGAGAAATTCCTCGCTGCCTGCACGCTGCTGAGACGGGCTGGCGTACCCTGGAGAATCTGGCACAGTAGGGGTCTTCACTGGAACAATGGGGGGTCGGATTGGGATGGGGCCGGATGTAGATGGTGTGCGCCTCACTCCAGTTTTGGAGGACGGCGTTCGGCGGATGGTGGCAGTCCCTGAGGTAATAGTTCCGGGACTGCTTCCCCCTGAGCCATTGGGGGTTCCCTGAGGGGTCTTTCCTGCTGGCAGACCTGCTGTGCTGGCGGGCCTCTTGGTTTGGATCATGCGGCGGTAGCTCTGAGCGATGTTACTGTGCCGGGGGATTGTGGAGGACTTGTCAAAGTCGGCCTGTCCTTCACTGTCGGCGTCCCCGTTAAGAGAGTAGCACTCATAATCAGAACCTAAAGGAGACAGTGACTTGTGAGTATCCTTTTCTGCTACATAAAGTTCTTTAACTATCCTTTAAGGGTTTATGTTTCAGCTAATAAGCTTCCTTGCGTAATAAATTACAGTAATCACACAAGCACTGGAGGCTGATAGTGCTGTGCTTTCTAAATTACAGTCTGAAGTGCAGAGATTTCTATCAAAATTAAATGCAACAACAACAACAACAGAGAGATTCAGAAGTTCAGCGGGTCTCTTTTATAAACACTGTGTGCAATCCAAACTCAAAGTGTGTGCACCAGAAACAATTTAGATTTATAGTCCCTGTACATGCACTCTTTAAAGCATCGCTTCCTGTATGAATCCCCCAATCCACCCAAAAGTATGCACACATGGATCAGCCTCATATTCTGCCCTTTGCACGCCCACCTTAGTTTAAAGATGGTCAATGCAAAAGCAACTTTTGAGTAAAAATACATTGAAAGCAGAGTGAAAACACTCAAAGTGAATCACATCAACAACAGAGGCAGAGGGAGAAACTCGAGTATCTGACACATTGTGCTTGTAGACAGTTCAAGGCAGGATACTCAAGCCCTTGATACACCTGTGTAAAGTACTGAGGCGTAATGATAAGACAAAGTCATCCTGCCTCTAATCCTCCCTCAGAGGAGGTAACAGAGGCAGAATGGGTGTGAGAAGGTGCCGTGTAGCGTTGGAGCTGCCAGGGCAGAACAGCACTGTGTGTGTCTGTGTATATGTGTGTGGCTCCTTCTGTGTGCTAACAAGCAGTGCCAAGTAAAAATCAACGTGTGACACCGCTTTGCAACAGTTGCCAGATCGCCCAGCGTCCAGCATTAATGTACAACTGTCACAGCAGTGTTTATACATTAACAGGATCCACGCTGATATTTGAAGTGTCACATTACGACAGAGCACTTACACCAACCAACATTCACTAGAAGAAATTAAATTTAATGTGATTTGAGTAACGTGTATACATTTATTTTAAGAGTCCTCATTCATGCAGACTGATGAGGTGTTAAGAGTGTTAGAGGTTATTTACAAGTTTATCAACACTGTGCTCAGCTGGCATTTCCATCTGTTGACGCTATTTTAGGTTTTGTTTCTCAGTGATAAATTGATTTATGGTTCGGCTTCTTCCTCTGTGATTTTAAGAGGTTTCAATGTGAGGAAAGAGCTGATTTAGATCCAGATTCAAAGAAAGAAAAGGACAATCAATGTGCTGACCTTTTCCAATTATTTTTTAAGTGTACCTGAAAGCAAAGAGTAATATATTCAAATAAAACATGCAGATACTTAGTGGTTGTGACAACACAGGTCTGTTATAATGAAATTGAATTAAATGTGCAAAAAGTATCAAAATATAACCTAAAATCCCCACCTGTGTCTCAGAAATGTGTAAAGCCTTGTGTGGAAAGTGGCGTAAGACACTTCCAGGCCTTGTTCTGTCCATACGCAATGTTTACAAATGAGACCCCTGAGCTGGAATCATACGTGTTCTTTTTTAAGTATGTGTGTTACCCTGTGAGGGGATGGTGTCCTCGGAGCAGGACGGGGTGTTGGTCTGAGTGCTGTAACCGCTGGAGTACTGCAGAGAGTCTCTGCTGCTCTTCTGCTGCTCCATACTTAGACCTCGGGTCAGAACCATGGCGAGAGTGCTGGCTGCTGGAGAGAGTGGCTCACCATGCTGGAGAAAGTACACACACACACACACACACACACACACACACACACACACACACACACACACACACACACACACACACACACACACAGGCACACACAGGTAGGATATACATAAAGATTAGCATACATTTACATATGCAATTCATTGCACTACAATTCCCAAGGCATGCAAATGTGCACACTGACATTTACATTTACCTTGGCTGCAATTGTTCCCTGGCCAATCCGCGCCCGGTGTGGATCATCTGGTTGCATCCCTGAATATCCCTGCGGACTGGGCGGAGCTTCAAATTCTCTCATCTTTTCCATTGACTCTCTCCTGCGATGCAAAGTGCTCGCCAAAGACGGCTCACAGGAACTCGATTTGGCCCAGTCCTGCTGCAGCAGACAGAACAATGAGACCCTCCTTCCCAGTGTGCATCTCCAGTGTTTGCCATCCAACAGTCATGTAGCGGACTGAACACAGAAGCTGCTGATTTGGCTCATGGACTGGTTAGATGCAGATGTAGGTATGAGCAGAAATCACTAGGCTAACTGAAGGTTATTGAATGATAAAGCAGTCTCAGTTTACCAAACTGAGCTCCACGGAAAAAGTGACTGTGAGGTCGATCTTTAACGAGGAAGTAAACACAAGAAGCAAAGAAGCAACAGAGTTCAGAAAAAAGAGAGAAAGCAAAAGAAAAATTGCAAATGAAAAACAAACCTTCCAGCTAGGAACCTTGGATGTGGGTGAGGGGGTGTTGGATCCGGGGGAGTGGTTAAATGTGGGGGACGCAGGAAGTATGACAGAGAGAGGCCTGATGGTGCCAGTGTGAGAGAAAGCAGGGCGAAAGGTACCGAAGGATGAGCATGAGCCAAACTGCGAAACGGACAGACAAGTCTGAGTCAGCGTGCTCAACATCATGGAGAGTCCACGTCACAGCGCGCCGAGGCTGTCAAGTGGAGCCCACAGGCCTCTTTAGGCTATAGATAACAATGAGGACAGTGCACAGCTCATAGAGAGAGTGTGTGTGTGCGTGTGTGTGTGTGTGTTTCTGATACAGCAGGTAGATCGTTAAGATGCATGCAGTACTAACCGCTGTAGGAGAGTTGCACTCGCTGACAGACTGGCAGGTTTCTGAAGCCTCAGAGGAGGCAGAGCTGGTTGATTTCTGGGAGAGGGGAGATGAAGTTAAAACAGAGGGTTGGGGAAGGAAATGGAGAGAGAGAAGGTGTGAGATGCAGAGGGTGAGAGTTGAGGAGTGTTGATGAGCTTATGGAGGAGGAGGGGGTTATTTTCAGCTCTGAGGGGATCTATATACCATCGCCCAGATCGAAAATAAAGTAGCTAGTAAGATCTTTTATTCAGAGAGGAACATTGCATCAGTCAGTGTGCACAGTGTGTTCTGTACGCTACAATATGTTCAGACCGTGAGAGTCTGAATAACTCTTATCAGCCCAGTGGGATAAAAAAAAAAAAATCCAACATTCGCAACTGGTAAAGCTTATTGCAGTAAAAATACTGAGCTCTGTCTGCTTATTGTGAACAAGTTTATGACTGAAATGCAAATCAGGAAATATTGAAGGTACCAGATGGAGAGGTAGTGTTGTTAACGGAGAGATTTATGGATCTACTGTGTGGTTTTCTCCGTGATAGGTTGCCTTATTCCCTCCACGTACACATAAACTGTATTTTCGTGGCTGATACCTGGCTGGTGATGTCAGAGGGCATGGGCGATGGAGGCTTGGAGTGGGTGTTGGCGTCCTGGGACACAAAGCCTGAGTCGTGGGAGGAGACGCTGCTGAGTCGATGGGCTCCTGCTGAGGGCATCTGAAGGAGACTGAGGACAGAAAATCACCGGGATATTTATCACTGTGGGCTTAAAAGTCGACAATTCCTGAGTGAAACGAATAACAGGAAAAAAATCCAAAACTGAGATTTTCATTTTTTCTTTTAGGAAATGATTTATTCACTTAAAGCTTTTTGACATTAACAAAACAGAATGAAATTCATATTTATGCTTTTTCTGAATCTACAACAGCGAACTAGACCATCAGAGACAGGACTAGTGATTTCTACAAAGTAATTTTTACTGTTTGATACTGAAAGGAGGGGATAGAGGTCAAGAAACAGCTGTTTTTACAGAAAAGCAGCACTGTTGGTGCAGACAGCATGCTGAGCTGGGAAGCTGAGTGATATATTGGTAACAAACTATCTGGCTCTAAAAGCCATCTTCTGTGTGTGGAAGACACTGTAAAGAGCTGCTCGGGAGCTGAAAGAGTCAGTTCTTGTTTCACCAAATGTCTTGGATCTCTAAAAAGGTCCTGAATTGCCACAACTAGAATCATCTACACTGAGAGAAGGATCCAAAGAAGATCGATCAAAAAAACTGCTCTGAAATGGAGAGATAGACTTTGTTGATTTGAAGTAAAGCATGAATCTTTCTGGATAAAATGTGTTTGGACTAAATCTTTTTCTGGACTTGGTTTGTGAGGACCCTCTTTGTTGCAGCAGGAGCGGGGGGCAGAGTGCCAGACTGAGCAGAGTTTGACATTAATGTCAACTTCCATCGCTTTGGAGCAGAATGAACAGGTTAACTTTCATCAAAGTGAACATCTTCAGACTGATTCACTGCTGACAATCCTCAAGTTTTGATTAATTGTGCTAACCTCTGTCCTTAAGTATGATCAAGTAAAAATCAGCAAAGATGTCAGACACACTAGTTTGTCCACAAAGGGTGACCAATCCCTCACAAAGGATGGGGTTGTTTGGTTAACTGAATGGTTAAATGTCATAACCCATGCTAGTATGAAACAGATGATGGTTGCTCTTATAACTATAGGCCTGAAACGGTGGTCATATGTTGGTGAATCTGTGAGGGAGACTAAATCTCATATAGGGTGTCAATGGCCTCCAAGTGTCCCATGTACAGAGGTTGAAGTCTTCATCACAGCAGTTCCTCCCCTGGTCATGACACTTTGCCCCACTCCCTGCTCCCCACATTTCTAGTCTGTCCTCAGCCGTCCTGTCTAATAAAAGAAAAATGACCCCCAAATTTATCTTATTTTTTTTATTATTCAACTGGCTGCACGTTCCCATGTAACACCTGCAGACCATGGGAGGAAAATGCAACATGATGGCAACATGACTCTGCTACAGTCAGACGTTACTTGCTTTAAAGCGAGGAGCCGCCTGACTGAGGGCCATTAGACTGCCAACTTTTCTTATTCAAACCATTACACTGTAGGCCAAATGCTCCACAATTTTTTTAGATGGACAGCTTTCATTCATATCAGTTTGACATGGTAATACCCGTGAAATGCTCTTATGATGCAATCAGCCCCAGTTCAAAGGACATTCAGAGGGATTTTAAACACATTTTCAATATGATCAAACTGAAGGCTTCCTTGCAGTTGGCTGCCCACAATAAGGGCTTTTCATGTGAAATGCTGGGCACAATAGCTGCCAACAATCTGTGTTTACTGCTATTGTGTCCATCCACAGCCTCTTCCCAAGTTAAGATTGCCCCCTTTTTTTGCATTCTATCTCCATTGTGCATCTCTGTCAGTTAGAGAAAACACCCTCATAGCTATTCATGAAAACTAATAACAGTGTTTTTGCCTTCCTTTTATTGTCTCCATTCAAGCACAATTCACAGTCTGCATGTCAAACATGATTGGGATCCAGATTCTTTCTCTGTATTTTGTTCTGAAACTTGTTTTGGGGGGATTTAAGTGTAGGCCATGTCGAAAACAGATATGCTGAATGAAAAATTGATCACAGACGATGAACACATGAAGGCTTGGTGTGTGAGGATTGTAAATGATGCCATTCTTCTAAATTTGGTGCTTCAAAGAGCATTAACAAGTCATCCCTTCTTTGATTATTCTTTCCCTCTGAACAGCTGTCTCTGGGCTCCTTTTCATTTGTGCTTCTCTTTTTCACCCACGCTCTGAAAAAGTGCTCCTCACCCCCTACTCGCTCCCTCCCTCTGGAGTATATCTGAAGTTATCGTCCCTCCTTAATCTCCATCCTCAAGGGCGAGGCTTAAGGAGGATTTCCAAATTAAATATGACAAATTAAATAACCTTAAATCATTCATAAGCAGACACTATTCCTGCGTCCTCTGAGTCTCTCCTCTGAGCCTGTGAGAAACTCTCAGAGTGCTTGTTTTTCTCCATCCTGCTGCTGAAATCTTTGTCTCTCCATCACAATTTCTGATTATTTTGGTACAGCACTGTTGTACGAGGAAAATCCTGTAATCTTTGGATTTTCTTTTTTTTTCCCCAACTCACAACAGACTCACACTGCATGCTGTTCTGCAAGGGGGAGAAATCCTGTGAACTTGAGCTTATTAAAAAACTTTTTCAGGCCTGGTGGGTGAACTGAAAAATGTGTAGCGGTCAAGTTAAACCAAGGACAACGGAGAGGAGGAAGCTCTTCATCGACGGGTAAGTTTCTATCCCGAAATCACAACGGTACTTTGATTTAGAGTTTTAGTGAGCTAAAATGAGAACATACTGATAGTCTGTGACGATACTGTAAATAAACATAAAGCACTAAAATAGGCATTAAAACAGTGTTAATTGGTCTAAATACAAGCCAGGCTCTTTTCACACTAAATCGAGGTGACAAGCTGTGATCACAGGGTTTGATATTCCCTCAACACATTGCCAAAAGGATTCATTTAAACAGAAAAGCTTCTTTCGTGTCCTTGAATGCACCTGTAATACATGACTTTAAATAAATAAATAGTTGAATCATGGTTATTAAACTATGAATTTGGGGATTTGAGTTCTCGTGCAGGCTCACGGCTGTCAGGTTGTGATGTTTCGCAGCTTTGGACCTAATCTGGCTGTAAGGAGCTTGAGAACTGCAAATCTGCAAGGAGCTAGAGCCGAGACGCTGGCAAGATACAGCGAGCCCTGCACAATGACAGTACCTGATACTGTGTCTGTGTGTGTGTGCAGGGGGACAGGAGTCACCTGATCATGCATTCATAACGGGATGTAATATTTCAATCCTTTTCCATGGTGTGAATAATCCACTTGTGCATGCATGAAAGAACATCATGACAATTCAAACTGTGAATAAAATAAACCATCAACGAAACGTGGAAACTGAATAAGAGAAACAAACTCAATACCTGGGCCTGGGCATGATTTTTTTTTTCTGTTATCAGGAACTTTAAGAGAGTGTTCATGTTTTTAAGTGATGCATCAGCAGTCCAGGCAGCAGGCTTGCTCGGGTTTCTCTTTAAATGAGATGCCACAAAACAGTAACAATATGACAATGCAAAAGTGCAGAGTCCCAGACTACCAAGCACCAGATGAAGGCAGGCAGGCTGTTAGTGGGTACATTTCGGGAGTCTGTTTGCTACATAACAGGTGAAACTCTGTGCCACAAAACTCTGCAAAGTCTTTCCTGTTTTCTGGGTGTTTTCAAACTTTTTTTTTTATGGTTGAAGCCAGTTTCTACACCCATACAGTACAAAACGTGTCACGTAATTGTCAATTTTTGAGTTATGTCATAATTGACTGCTATAATCATGCGCTTTCAGCAACAGCAGCTGTTACCAATTATTCAAACAAAGCCTGATGAATTCAGACTTGAACAGCTGTGTAGCTTCTGCTGTCTGCATGTTGAAGCTTTGCAGGAAATGCATCTATAGGGACGCCATACTCCTGTTTACTACAGTGGTCGACAGCTACTCCTCCTGGTTTATGAGGGTCAAAGCTTTATAATGGAGCAACTATTTTAAATTTGTTTTCTATGAACCGGCAAGAAGCTAAATATTTACTGTCTTCAAGGCAAATGATGCAAACAAAGCCTAATGAATGAGTGCACTCCCCGCTCACTCTGCCTTTCCTGCTCTTCACTATAGTGGACACACACACACACACACACACACACACACACACACACACACACACACACACACACACACACACACCTATGATCACAGGTGACCACAGTTTGAAATTAGAGAATTTAGCTGATTAAAGGTAAAATAAAAAGGATTTAAACTCAGATTATTATGAGGTGATATGTGGAGAAAGTCACTCTACTGATACGAATGCTTCTGCACCTCACTGTTTCAGTGCACATCTGCACCAAACCTTCAGTGCCGTATGTTCGGTGCAAGTTTGGGCCGCTCTAGGTTTACTAATCCTGTCGTTTGAAGATACCTGCACATGCTGCTCTTCCTGGAGCCGGCGCTGCTGGGGGAGGATGGGGGAGTCTGGTAGGACCAGCTGAAGTCAGAGCCCTTCAGGTCCCGGATCACCTGCAGAAACACAAAACCAACACTGATCATACAGAAGGAAGAACAGAAAAGGATAACATTTATTAGTAAAAAAAACAGGCATTAATTATGATGAACTCGAAGGAATAACTTCTACATAAAAATTGCCATTCGCTAATTTAAGTTTATTCTCAAGCAATGATGACAAAGACATTTGCATTCCCCCCTCCATTGCAGACCCTAACCTCAATTTAGCAAAAAAACAAAACAAAACAAAGAAAATCACTGACTTTTTGCTGAACAGTATTTTTTTTCTTATTTCTCTTATTGCAAATTTTCATTTTAATAAAAGTTCTTCATGTTTATTTTATGTAATTTTATTAGTTCTCTCTGTTCTTAGTCTTTTTCTTAATTCCTTCCAAAGAGGTTTTTACTTCTTTTACCCCTTTTACATCTTAAAGAGCTCTTACTAATTTGTTCATTTTATATTATCTTCTTGTTTTAGTTCATCAGGTTTTAGTCTTTATCTCCAGTGTTTCCCAAAGGTAGCTTTTTCCTCACGCAGTGTCTCGGTGTCAAGCCATGTCTCTTTAACAATATATCTTAATGCTTGCTCTGTGTGCGTTTGTGTGTCTGTGCGTTTGTGTGTGTGTGTGTGTGTATGTGTGGATGTGTGGGTGGGTGTGGGCCTTTGTGTGTGTGTTGGTGGGAGGGTCTGGTTTTATTGTTGTTTTTAGCCTCTGTGAGGCACTTTGAACTGCATTCTTGTCTGAAAAGTGGCATATAAATAAAGTTGAAATTTGAAAATTGATCCTTATTATTTATATCAGAGATATTACTGCTTAAAGATGAGTGGTTCAAGTAAAATCAGTCATATGTTACCTGCTCACTGGCGGGCGGCAGCTTGTGTGGGTCTTCAGTCAGCACAGTGAGGTCATCAACAATCGCCTGTAGGTGAGTTATCTCTCCGAGCATAGCGATCTCTATGTTCTGGAAGAAATAAATAAAAATAAACTCTAACAGCCTCTACATCAACAGGTATAGGCATCATTTTCTCGGGAGCGCAGAAGTTTGACGTCTCTTACCACCACAGGCTGCAGCATGTTAATAAATGTGCAGTAGCGCCCCCTCTCTTCCAGGAGAGCTCTGCGCACTGCTTGCTTCTCCGTCTCCTCCATTAGAAGGTACAAGTCAGTCACGTCCTGCATGGCACTGTCCAGCTGGGGGCGCAGGTTACCTCGGCCTGAGGGAATCAAGGTGAGGAGATGCGGGGGGGATTGTGGGTGCAGAGTGGGTGATCATTGCAGAGGAAAAGTTCACAGAGACAAGGGAGGATGGAAAGAATGAAAATAAAGAATGATTAGGACACATGGTGATAAACTGAAGGTCATTGCACTCAGAGTCTACACCAGTTCATGAACGTGGGAATGAGGAGACAGAGAAACTTTGAATTCATCTGGAGTTGATGCAGAACAACTGGTGGAGACGGGTGGGCCCTGGAATGGGAATGATTAGACGCACAAAAACAAACAAGATGTCTTTGAGTCAATCACAGCTGCACACCATAATGAAGCTGGCCGAGAAAAGAGCATGAAGATGAACAAGATGGAGATGATCTGTCTCTCTAAATGGATGATAAGCACAGATTTATTCTGCTAGCTCAGTGTTGAAAACCGGCAGACTGTCTCAACATTTCTGGTTAAACTGCTGCAGCTCCCTTCATCACTTGCAGGAACGAGTGTGGAATAAGTGAATTATGAAAATCATCAGTCGAACAGAGCTCTTACTGCAAAGACACCAAACCAGCCAAGTGTTTTTGTTGTAATTCTAGTAAAAAGTATCTCTTTAAAGGGATATTTCGGCGTAAAATTAATTTGGGGTCAATCTTCATGGAACTGCAATCAGACCGAGACCCTAAGGCAGAAGAACTACCGCGTCTGCAGTGCAAAATTATTAATATGATGTTTGTTACTTAAAGGAAATAATAAAGAAAAATGATCATAAATGTTCTTCCTTGAGCTGCGTCACCCCGCTGCAGTCCATAATGGACTGGCCCGAGGTCTCCGTACAAACAAGCGGCTGCTGGAAGAGAGTAGGTGAGTTGTGTTTAGTCTCTTTGCTAAAGAAATCTGGCAAAGCTAAAAAGATGTTTGGTGGCTAGTACTATGGCTGTGACCCTATATGTACTGTTGATGAAGTTAGGTGCTGTTCTGAGCATTATTTGTGGCTATAAAGTGGCTTTTTGGTTGAGGTTTGTTTACGGCTCCTCAGACCGCTGTGTATTGCTACCGTGTGGTCGTTACTAAAGTTGGTATAAGTAGAGAAGCAAGCGGTCGGCAACATTCATCTCTCGAGGGGGTGTCTAACTCGGTGTTATGGTGTGTTTGACCCTAATTTTATTTTATGACGGAATATCTCTTTAAGTGTATTATGAGCCTTATCTCTCAGCACAAAGACTCAGGACATCATGCTCTCTGCAGCTGATCGAGTGGAGATTTTTCCTTTAACCAAACATGTTGAGACTTTCAGGGTTTTCTTTGTCTGGCAGATTGGTTTGAGATGATTTTGATGCTTCTAAAAAAAAAAAAAACTATCTCATGAAGTTCTCAGACAGACCAGAGTACGGCAAACATACCTAGAAGCTCTACAGCCAGGGGGAGGACAGGCAGTAATAAACAGAGGAGGGGGATTGGAGCAGGCAGAGGGAGGAGAGAGAAAGTTAGCTGCATTAAATCAGAGCACGGTGCATGTTAATAACAACCCGCACCTCCAACAGTTTATAACAAGTCCTTCAAGAAAATACGAGTTTGATTACAACCAGCAACAGAGAAGACTACAAGACAGGCCAGAGAGGAAGATCATTCCTGTGATTTATTGGACAGAAACTGGGATGAAGCCTCTGAAACTGTGCCAGGAATTTTGATTTAAGCAGTCATTTCTGTATCTTTACTCTAGATGGCGCCATAATCTGAACCATGCACACAGCAAGGAGGTAGACTGTCAGCCCGGAAATCTCAGGAAAGTTAGGGAGCATTTAATCAGAGGTTTTAAAGGTTAAAAGGTCAGGATTTCTTACCTTTTCTGGCTTTTTTCTGCAGTTTTATTGTGTCCAAAGATTTCCTTTTGATTTCCTGGCGGGACCGTTTATATTCTGCGGTGAGCAAAACCAAAACATATCTCAATTTGTGTACAATATTGAGGATTTCTTGAGGATCATTTGATTGTTTCGTGTCATAATTGCACACCTTTGGCATGATCTTTGTCCAGTTGGTTGGCCGTCTTCTTCCACTCCTCTATCCGCTCCTGCAGCGGCGTTACCAGACCCTCCATAAGAGCACTGCAGCAACAAGGAGACAAACATGACCAAATTGATGGTCAGAGACAGAGAGGTAGGAGGAAGGACTTTATTTCCACATTGCAAAAACACTCTGAAAATTGCACGATGAGAGGAAGTCAGCTGAGAGGGGGCAGGACATGAGAACACAGCTCCTCGAGGTGGAAGAGGAGAGAAAATTATGGTGTAGGGGGTGAGAAATGAAAGCACAGGTGACACGTACTTGGTGAAGTGGCGTAATTTTGTCTCAATGCTGCGGTGGCGCATGCACATCCTCGTCAGAGCTGAGCCGACATCCCTGGTAGCACCTTAAGAGAGGAGAAAAACAAATTGTCACCTTTCATACACGAGGTTGACACTGCAAATCAGATATAACCCCCTCTGCCTGGAGAGATGTCATTTTTAGAGGAGGTATGTCAGAGAAGTTTGTGAAAGGTCTAATTCTCTCCTGACACGCGCTTTTAGCAGGAGGTGTGTTTCCAGCTGCAGCCACCAGGGGGAGGAGAGCTGGTTGTAGAGGCAGAGACCTTCACGTTTGTTTGGGGGAAAGCAAATGTGACACAGAGAGTGGAAATTAAAAACCCTAAACCCCCTCCTCCCTAACCAAACACGCGTTTACCCTTTGACACTTGAAGATAGCGTGATTCCCAAAGGAGTGTAAACAACAGCTTGTGTGAACGGGTTACTGTACTTTTCCTCTCTGCTGAAGTGTAATTAAAAATGTGGATTTTAGCTCCTAAAGCCCAGACTGCCTCACTGATGGCTCATAGGCTGCTGTAATATGTGGCAGCACTGATCCCGCTGTAATCTGGGCCACATAGGGCTAATCTGAGGGTCTCTGCACCCATTCAAGGACACAGACGAGGGGTTAAAAAAGAGGACGTCTGCAGCAGACAGGCCTCAGATTTTTGCACAGACGGCTGTTTTTTGCTCATAAATGGTTATGAAAGCTGGTGCATGAGCCCGAGTCTGTGTGTGTGTGTGTGTGTGTTATGGACAGGTGGCGAGATTTACAGACCCCCCCCACCCTTTCCGAGGTTTTCACCCCTTCTGTCCTGGAGGAAAAAGGAGGGAGCTCTGAAAGGGGATATCCCTCTATTCTTCACTGCCCGCTCTGCCTTTCCTGTTCTCTCTGTTTCCTAAACACTGAACATGCAGGACCGACAGAAAGAAAGAAAGAGAAAGAGAGAGAGAGAGAGAAACCGGCTCTATCCTGCACTGAAAAACAAAACAGGTACTGACAGTCATTGTCAGTTCCGACCAGGACTGACAATGACTGTTTTTTAAATAAATTAGATATTGCTTCATGACTCATGGTGCTTGTTTTCTGGTTGCTGGTTTACAGTAGAGGGTGTAGTGGTTCTTTGCTCTGGTTGCAATTCAATCAAAGCGAGCTGATATGAAGCAGATCTGTTTTTTCATGCTCATGTTCTTTTGAATTTGACAAAATCTAACAATAAAACTATTATTATTCTATACAGTTTTAGTTTGTTTTTCAATTAATCCATGAAAAAGAGTTATACACTGGGTTATGTAGATTTCAGAACATGACTGATATTTATGTCAGGGGCAAAATTTTACTATATTATTCTGTACATGATAACAGAATTTATAATTAGCACAAGTCAGTAGGGGTTGGAATCACTAGTGGCCCCATGATACGATATTCTCAAGATACTTTCGCCACGGTACGATATTATTTTTAACATTTTGCAATCCAGTGAGTATTGCGATACAATATATTGTGATTCATACATTTTTTCGACTGTTAGCTAATTTAGCATTTGTTTTTCTTTTATGTTTGTCTTATTTACACAGTATTTTATTTCCATGTAGCACATCTTGCAAACCTTATATATATATTTTTTTATACTCACTTTCTCCTGCTCTATGTTGTCACCTCTGCCAACCTCACTGAACAAACAATTGATTTTATTTTTCCATTATTATAGATTTGACTTCATATTAGCAATTCATTTGAAAAAATCAATACTTGGTAAATGAAAATTCGATATATCACCAGACAAAATATTGCGATACGATGCTGTATCGATTTTTTTCTCCCACCGCTACTCGTCAGTGACTGTTTCAGGTTTAAGATGCTGTTACTGAGGATGGGGGAAGTTATTATTCAGCAGGATGTTAACATTGCTCGATACCAGTCACACTGACAGACTGCCTGCAGATGATATTTGTTGATTTTCTTAATCAAGCCCAGCCATTGGCCTGTGCTGAGTATATCAAAATTCCTTTTACTGATTAATCTGTCATTCTCCATTTTTTATGATGACGGATTAAGTCCAAGTTTATATTTTTCTGACAAGTTTAGTTAAGTTAGTTATTCAAAGATGAAAAGAGGGGAAGTGGCGTCATTATTTTCAGCCCAAATGATCAAAGTAGAACCAAGACCAATACAAGAGTCAGTGAACTTTCCATGACCCATCAAAGAAAGGTGAAGATGTGACATCTGGACATCTTCAGACTGAAACATCAAAATCATGGACTCTTAGAGAAAGCCTGAAATCAGAGACTAAGAGAAGAACCCTCCAGATGTTTGTCCGCTGAGATCTGTGCTCCACTTGTCAGATAAAGAAACTAGGTTAGCCATCTCCGGTCGACACTGCGTCACTCTGAGAGTCAAGAAAACTCACTTCTCTCCTTCACACGGCTCGGCCGTCAGCCTCAGCGATTGTTGCTCTGCTTCAAACAGATCTGGACTCTCAGGGACACTCTGCTCAGGCAGATGTCAAATAACTTGAGTGTTTGTGTGAGACGGAGAGAGAGAAGGGGGATCGTTCTGGATGACAGAAAGCGAGAGGAGGGTTGGGGGTTAAAGGTCATCCAGCTGTATCACATGCAAGCCTCACACATCAGGAAGTGATGGAGTTAACATGTGGAACCTATACGCCGAGCTGGGGATAAAAATAGAAAAGGGTATCCATCCTTCAAGCTCCTTTCACACATGAACTCCTGACTTTTTCCTGATGGTTTCAGAACCTGAGATTTCCAGGGAATTGCCGCTCACACATGCAGCTCATATGGAGAGATTTTCTCAACTCGACATACTTCATTTAGTAAGGCCAAAAGGAGCAGCAGGGTGGTGCATGCAGAATGAAAAGACATTTTCTAACACAGACAACTAATGCACAAAGTTTACCACAGAGGAACCTCGCTTAAACATTGACTTCACACACATTTTCTGGCGTCTGGCGGGGAAAAAAGTCCAGGTAAGGTTTGGCACCTTTTGCATTCACTCATGAAACCACTCTGCACAATGATAGGTGATCTTTGGGAGTGCAGAGCATGCATCAGTAGGAGAAAGACTCATGAAGGACACTGGTGTGCAGGTTCGGCATCTCTCCCTTTAAAAGCATCACACACAGAATCCACAGCTGCTAATCAACTCATGCAGGATGGAGCGGTAGTGAAGGAGAGACACAGGGAGAGAGAGAGGGGAGGGGTAATGTCCCCGACCCTTTTATCTTTATAACAGATCTACTCAATGTCACCACCAGCCAGCAAACGGCTCCCAACCCCCACCTACCCTCTACCCCCCTGTCCTGTTCCATCCACACCTGCCAATTCCTTTTCCTCTACCGCCCATCTCCTCCTCTCCTCCTTCCCTTCCCTGAGGGGGGATCAGCTGACAGCTACATCCTGGGGAGGTCCGGAGACTTCCTGCCCACGTCCTAGAGCCGTGCTGGCCTCTGGCCTCCACCGGACAGACAGGGACGGAGTGATCCACTCCCTCTAGTATGCACGCTGCATGCACACGCCACGCAGACATGTGACGAACAGCTGAGAGGAGGGTTTGTTAAAGTAGAAATATAACACTTTACTTCAGCTTTAGATCGACTTTTACACCTCTGCTTGACAGGACAGCTGAAGAGAATCAGGAAACGATTAAACCTTTTGCTCTTTTAAGTCAAAAAATCAGACTGCATTTATGCTAAGTTAGACATCCATCCATACTCTTCATTCATTTTGTCCATATTGCAGCTTTCCCAATAATAGCTTTCTTAATAATAGAAAAAAGGCTTTTACAGTAGCCAGTGATTTACAGTTGTTAAATGTGTACACTTTCCGATGTGTATCATTGCAAACAAAGAACATAAAGCGCAGTGAACAAAAATTACGGCTACCTAGGCTCACCTTTCCACCCCAGTACGGGTGAGACAGCTCCCTGTATAACCTACCGGCTTTCAAACACAGTGCCCACGTGACCCAAACCCAACAAAACCAATGGCAACCAGACAAAAGTAATTGAACACAGGATAACCAATCAGCTAAGCAACATTATGGCTCCTACAGTCTATATTTTTGCACATGACCAAATGTTAAATTTGTGCAAAGCATCAATGAGCCCTGAATTTACCCATTTTCATGCACTCATTTATATTTTGGATTGTGGCTGAATTCTGGGGACTCCCTGCTCTTGCACAACTCATCTCCATTTGTTGTGCTTACATGAAAAGCAAAGGCAGGGAGAGCATCAGCAAAGATCCAGTGGGTAGAGCTACGTGCACTTCCACTTGTCAATCAGAATCAGAATGCCCCTTATTGTCATCAAACTGAAGTACAACAAGATTCAAGAGCTCCTCATTTCTAGTGCAATAGAAAAAACAGAAACAGAATTTAGAGATATAAAAAAATACAAACAAAATACAGAAATGTACAAAATATATACAAAATAAAATTCTTCAGTGCAGTGCAACAGTGCAATGACAACAAGAATAGGATGATAAATATTAAGAATATGTACATGTATATACACATTCTTTATATGTATATGGACATGTACTGCACAGGTTAAGGATATAGAAATGTATTACACTGTACATGGTCCGAGGAGGGGAGAGCACACCTCACCTCTGATTCATGTGCATGCATAAAAAGCCAAGGCAGAGCAGCAGCAAAGACCGGAGCAGACATCAGTGGCGATCATGAAAATGCTGCTAAATCAGTCTCAGCATAAATAGAAGGAGCTTGGGTGGAGGAGAGTTTCAAAGCAGTTTGCAGAGGAAGCAGGAAGAGTCAGCAGGATAAAGCAGGTTAAATATTAAACTATTTTGGCATTTTGTCAAGTGTTTCTCCTCAACTGTGTCCTGAATGTGTTAGAAGCATAAATATAAAATGAAGTAAAATATGCTTTATCTACATCTTTCAGTGCTCAACTTTGTGTCAGCTTTAAAGTGCGTGGGAGCTGGGAAAGTGATCATTTTGCAGACGTGGACCCCTGGGGCTTTAGGGGGAGCAGTGTTCATAGCTGACACCCACACGTGCATGCATGAAGCAAAACACAGACCAGGATAGAGGAGAGCGGTTATGCAACGCAGCAATATATCTTAAGATATGGAGCAATAACAGTGAGCGCAGAGAAGTGCGGTTCGTTACAGCGTGTAGCTGATGGCGCCTGGTTTAATACATCAATGCTGAACACTAACAGAAACCAGCCACCAGATCTGCTGTTTGTGCTGAGAGCTACACGGGATTCTTGGTGGGAAGGTCAAGCCCCGTGGGTTAGGTTAAACTGGGAACCTTAAGCTCCAGTATCCAGGATCATGTGGCTGTGGTCTAAGTATTTAGAGAGCGGTTCCATCCAGAGCTCTGGTTCTGATTAACTTCCCCTACCTCCTCGGGGAAGGAGCAGTGGTTTAATAGCCTGCTTTATGGGGGCTCTCCTGCCAGAAGCCGAGGGCCGGGAGCTAAACATCCCCGAGCCCCGTTCCCTGATGTCTTCAGCATGGGAGCTTAGCCTAACTATCCCCCTCTCTCAGCATCTGTACCCTGCTGCTCGACTCAGGTTTCATTAGCACCCAAGATTACCGAGCTGGACTGGGATTCTGCTCCGACAGGACTCCGTGCTGTGTAACCAGTTGCTCCCCCTCCCTCTCTGCTTCCTGCGTCAATAAAGCATGTTTATGTGGGCCGCAGAGCCAGGAGGTACAGAACATCCTCACAGTAACACTTCCAGGAATATAAAGTCCCTTTTTTTCTCAGTGATGGAGATTTCATCAGCTGTGAGACAACAGCGATTCGTCATGTTGGCACCTTGGCAGCTGAGCTGACTGCTGCTGGCACAGGCAGTGCAGACTCTCGCCTTTACCCTCCTCCGACCTTAAAGTTGTGCAGAGTGTGAACTGGCGGGGACACAGCGACAGCAAGTGATGGATGAAAAGAGGCAGAAGGAAGAAGGGAGGAGAGAGGGAAGGATGAAAGAGGACACACACACTGCTTGGTCCATCAGTCGGAGGGCAGAGGAAGTGTCTGCAGGTGCAACAGGCTCCAAACCTCCCATGATAAACAGCACTGACAAAGAGTGGAGGCACTTTGCAAAGTAAAGTTTTCTGATATTTAAAATTCATGCAGTTTTTGTTTGTCTTGTTTAGCAAAGAAAACAACATGCAAATATTCTTCAGTACATAAAAAGAAAAAAAAGAGGACAACCTGCTTTGATTTTAACAGCTTGACTGGTCTCGTTTAATAACCAGTCGAGCAAATACACATCAGAGATTTCTGAATCCAAACCCTGACGAAACATCACATATTCAGACCATCAAACATTCACTTCAAAGCACAGCTGGAGTTCTGCTGCTGTGTCTCAGAGGGAGCAGTCAGCATTAAAAAATAAAGCAGCATCCTTTGTGTCTGCTGTCAGGGAAAAATCTCCTCTGATGATGGAAGAGGGGAGGGTAAATCTGCTGTTTGTAGACATTGGTTATGGAAGATGAGTTCCAGTTCGCAGACTTGCAGTATGAAAGTTTAAGATCTTAGTGGAGTGCTTTAGATTGTGGATCAGAGACAGACACGGTGTGCCGCCCTGCTGATGCTCTCCGATGTTAAAATCAGGCTGAAAATTACAGGAGTCTGATGAAAGCCTCTGTGGTCCTGATTGAATCATAAAGCTGCAGTCTATTTCACTATCAGTAAGACACCTATTGAGAAAGACAGATTGAGGTGAAAGTATGTTTGATATTGTAAACAGAGTCTGATGTAAGCTGACTGTGTCTGAGAGGTTTCAAATTGATGTCACTTTGTTGGTAAAAACTAGGCCAGTGTGGTTTGTGTTGTTTTTCTGCAATGAGACTCCAAACTGAGGCGGTTTTGGTCAGTTCATTAACATGTACTTTGAAGTCAAGCTACGGTTATAGCTCCATTTGGCAAAGGTATATGTCCACCTCTGGTGAGTGCTTATGACTCCATTTCTGCTTGATACTCTTGGCTCCTTGTTGAAATTTTCAGTCACATACCAAAACATGTTAGCGAGAGGCTAACAGGTTGTGTGTCAAACAATGAAGACATACGATACAAAAGCTCCATCCTCTTTTACGTTTCTTGCTCATCTGCTGAGGTTTTGTTTACATTCAACTTCCAGGTCAAAGCTTGACATGTGAGTTGCAGGGCGTGCTCAGTTTGAAAAATCGATCCCCAACTGCATGATCTAAGTTTGTTGAGAAATTTCATATCGTGCGATTAATGGACTAATGTATATATTGGGGAATGTTTTAATGACGAGTGAGACATGACAGTGACCTTGAAATATAGGGTGGTTAAACTACCAGGCCAGCAGCACCTCTTTGAAATTTTTCTGTATAATAAAGCAAATTTTAAGACATGATTAGATGTCTGACCTCTAGTTGAAAGGCACCTGCTAAACTGCAAAAACACCATATAAAGGCCCTAGTTATGGTATCCACAACACTGTGAGTTTAATTAATCTAAGAGTTCACAGGTCAATTAGTCAATTCTCTTTGTAATGTCATTGTGTTTTGGTCAAAATGTCTCACAGTGTCGCAACAACCTTCTTTTGGTGATGCAGATATGCATCAACTTTGTTTTTGCTGCTGCTCTCCCTGCCTTCATTTTTAAATTGTGCACATAAATCAAGGGGAGGTGTGCATGTCAGAGATCCCAAAGCTGTCACAGTAAACAATAGGCATATGCAATTTTCTTTACTTGCAGAACTTGGAAAAAGTCTAAGCCTACAGATTCTGCAAGTAAAAATGACTAAACTCAAAATATTCTTGGAAATATTGTTTCCTAAATCATTCCCTAATCTGTAAGATGTTTTCTAAAAGTCAACAGACTGTGAATTCTTAATTTGTAGAGCCCTTAAGCGTATCTACAAAGTCTTACTTTTTGTTCGACTTCAATCCAAAACTGAGAACAACGCAGAAAAGCATAAACCCTCACATTTGTGGAACTTGAAATAATCTTTAAAAACCCTTAGCCCTCACAAAAAAAGTTGGGTTTTTTTGTAAGGAATGACTGTGTTGTAAGTGCTGTGTGTCTGCCTCTGACTCACTTTCTAATAAAAGACAGAGGAAACAGCCTCAGGATCAATTGTTTTACTCACACAGAGTCAAACACACACTCGGCCCATTGTTGTCTGGACCGTGCACAGCAAGTTAGACCTCAGAGCCAGAAACACACACACACACACACACACACACACACACACACACACACACAGACGGGGGCCAGGCCATAGTGTGTCCTCATGTGGTGTAAACATGATCTGGAGAACATTAGAGACAAGAAGACTGAGGAGGAGAACAAGAGGAGGCGGTGTTTTCTGTTGCTGGAGCTTCCTGTTCAAAGACATTAAAGCTGCTAAAAATAAATGTCCAGATGTGCCGAAAAAGATCAAACATGAAAAAGTTCCCTAAGAGAGGGAGAAAAGTTCTTCACTGTTCTTTTCACGGCGAAAAGAAAGAGAAAATACATCTCTACAAGACTCACACATGTATCAGACCCTCATTTAGGAACAATGAGACAGCAGTCTGAGAGTGACTCATGTTTAATGGAGCAAACCCAGATGACTTAAGTTGTGCAGCATTACACCCTCTGCAGTCAGGATGTCTTTATCTCAGCCTCCATCACCCTGCCCACCTCTCTGTCCTGCCAACGTGGCTGCATTTATGCTCATTTGCAAACAATTCCTAACCATGCTGACATCATCTCGGTTGCTGCTCGGGAGCATTTCATTCACTCCACCTCCCACCTGTTACCTCTGAGCGCTGAGAGGCCCTGAGGGGAGGTCTGTCAGTGTTACATCCTGTTCTCCGCTGGTTTCTCCTCACACCACCAGACTCACACAGTCTGAGCCCAAACAGAAAGCCCCTCTGTTTTTCAAAATGAAGCCAGAGACTAAGAGCCAGAAAACTGCAGTTCCTCATGTGTCCATTTGAGGCTGTCTGAAAGGTTAGTCAGTCCCCAAAGAGCAGGAATAAACTCGATTACAACCGAGCTGAAAATGCTTCTGGTCTCTGTGTCTGTTTTCTTTATTTTCTATGACCTCAAGTCCACTGTTTGCCTGATCCTAGATCAGCTCAAAGTCACAACAAGTCAGTATTTCTATTATCGGGACCACCACCTTTGGACTTCAAAACAACTCTTAAGAAACCAATGAGTGACTCTGGACCAAGGTTTAGTCAAGTGAAGCCTCTATAGACCCTTTTGGTGTCAGTTAAGAGTATGATAGTTTTTTGGGTGGGCGGGGCTTAGTTGAAAGGAAAAAAAAAAACTTTAGATCGCAGTATTAGCTATAGGGCTGTCTCATTTTCAGGGCCAGTGGTCTACACAGAGGAAATGCTGACTCAACCTTAATTTCATGCTGACCGAGCAAGAATTAAAGCGGTGGAGTTGAGGAGTGCTTTTAGTCTTGCATAGCTGCATCCTCCTGTCAATTAAGTCCTTAATTATTGCCCTTATTACTATCAAACTGGTCACCTTGATATCCTCAAAACTACAGAGTTACGAAAAATCCCCCTCTCCACAGTGTGCGCAGAGACAGAGCCTAGATATCGAGCCTAAACCTCTTCTCTAGAAGACTGTTGACATGTTAAATTCTGCTGTCGAGATGAGCTTTTTTGAATGAGTGTGTATGTCGTTTCCACTGCGTTTGCAGCCAGCCTCTAGTGGACACTTGGGGAACTGCAGTTTTTATCTCTTTCACAATGGCCTCATTTGTCAAGATCTGAAGTTGCTGCCAACTTGAGATACAATGTAACATGATAGTACCTACGAGACTAGAACTGAGATACTCAGTCATAGTTTTCAAATTATGGGTTTTTAAAAATGTGGAATTGGTCTGCTTCGATAAACCAAGTTTGGAGTACTAGCCTAACTCGTTGCATAAAAAAGTTGAGTTTGCAACAAATCATTGGAGTCTACTTGCAAGTACAGATTCACCCCCAAACTTATACACTGGCGGCTTACTTTGCAGCACACTGTTGTTATTTTCACATAAGAATTAGAAACGATGAATTTTAGAGGCTTTTCAAATATGGTATGCATCTTTAGAGAATCATTGATGCCCCTATCAAATTCTGTTGCAATTCATTCAACTGTCATCAAAAAATCTTACAAAGAGCCATGCAGTGGCTGTACATGAGGGGTCAGAAATCCTAGAGATACATCCTCTTGGGAGTACAAAAGTCTGGACCAAAGTGGTGCACCAACAAACCGTCTGTCAGCTGACCGGCGACTCTTTATTCCCAGTAAATTCCCCCGGTTATCTTCAATCAGCCACCTCAGCTGATTAAAACTGAGCTTGAATCCCTTTCATTCCCTCTTTTAAGTCCTCCCTCACATTCCTCTGTCATGCTCCCCCTCTCTTGTGTTTTCCCTCCCCTCTCCAGCTTCTTTGCTCTCAGGGTTCATGTTCAGGATACAGCTGAACACAGTGTTCCCCCCCAAAAGTCTCATGTTTGCCTTCTTAGTTTGGTATTCAGCCTCTAAATGAAAGTTATGCAGAGCAGAGAGATTTGTTTTCCCTCACAGTGTTATTCTCCTTGTTTTGTGTCTGTTCCTCACATCATCGTCCCAGCCTCCTCAAACTTGGTTACTGCAGGCGACCGCATCAAGTTCTGGGGTTTAATCTCCGGGGTGAGAAAAGGAGAACTGTACTGGGACTGTTTCCTGGGAACAGACCGCTTAAGGGAAGAATCAGAGCCCGACAGCATGAATGTTTCACTCACTTTATTTCTGAGAATAGATGTGCACGGATTGTAAAACGTATTTAGGAGCACTCATGTGAATAACCAGAGTGAACTAGAGAAACAAGAGAGGAATCTGCCACTGAGCTAAACTAACGCTGTGCACTGGAAAACATTATCCACCCCTCAGGCTGAGCGGTGTGTTACATCCTTTCCTCCTTTGACCCAGTGAAAGTTAGACCCAGCATGTGTTGGGAACAGGGACTGACAACTCATGTGTCTTGGAACAGATTCTTCCAAGCAGCAAACTCCGGTCTCAAGAGATGAAACTCAAGCAGAAGTGCGAAAAACTGCAGTTCCCAGAGTGTCCACTAGAGGCTGTCTGCAGAAGTATCCGAAACCACATACACACTCATCTAAAAAAGCCTGTTTTTAAAGCAAAAGTAAAAACACGTTAACTGGGCTCTCAGGCACCAACTGTAGCAGGAGAGATTTTTTTTTTATGCTTTTGTTTCAAAGGTAATGAGCTTGCAAGACCGGCATCAATAATTTAAGATGAATCAATTTCTTCTTGTTGTGAAATGGTGCCAGGTGGTAAAGTGGTAAAAATTCTAAATAAACTTCAGACAATGAGACAATAAAAGGCAGAAATTGGTGAAAAGAATTTTCTCATATGCAGGAGTTTTTTTTTTTATGATCTCTGGAGGACCCCGGTCTACAGCTTATTGTATGTTTAGTGTGCTCTGGGGCATAGCTCATCTCAAATCAATTACTAATTTGCTAATGTAAAACGAAAGGAGCTCAGGAGGATGCAGATATTGTTGAACTTAAACACAATTTGTATAAATTGCATGTTAAAGTGAACTACTTATTTATCTTAAAGCAAATCCCATTATTTCAAACATTTTAACTGTGCACCTTCTTCAGAAAAAGAGATCTGCATCCAGCCCTAAAAATTGGCTAATATTTGTGTGTAAATAAAGAGTCGATGAAACATAAAGAAATAAAGTCACAGTGGGCTCTGTTTTGTTCAATTTTTCTACATTCAATCTAAAAACTCCAAACCCTATAAGCTCCTGTTTCTAATTCAAGCCTGCCTGTCCTTGCTCACTAAGTACGATTCATATCACGCACGGACATGAAATGCCAGGCTTGATGGATGTCATCTCTGGTCACATGGGCACACTCTCGTTATTTGACATGTCTGTAAAAATAGCGGCGCTGCCGGGATAGCAGCGGAGGACAGTAATCCCCTGATCTCGCCCTGCACTAGGCCTGAGCTGCATCTCTTCCATGCCAATGTCCAGATGGCGGGTAGGGATATCCGTCCCATCTGCCAACCCCGAGAAGCGCAGGGGCCAAGCAGATTACTGCCTCACTGAGACACTGATCTACTAACACGACTCCATTCCTGCACAGACCCAGAGAAAGAGCGATGGATGGAGAGAGAGAGAGACAGAGAAAGAGAGAGAGAGAGAGAGAGTGTGCACTGACCAAAATTTGTCTGCACGTGCATGATGTGTGGTATCTGCAGCCTCCAGCTCACACTGAAAGACAGAGAGGCTGAAAACAAACTTCACTGCATCTCCTCAAGTGTGACTTTTTCCATCTGGGGAGGCCGATGAGGAGGAGAGTTGAAGCGGTCTGTGTCTGTGTGTTACAGAGTGGGGCTAAGAGGATTAGCTAAACGCCTCTGCCTAGCCTGGATACCCAGAGCTGTGGAAATCCCACTGCAACCACATCCCCCACCCGGGCGAACCAACCCACCACCACCCACCACACTCACCTCACCCTCCCAAAATACAGAGCCTGCATCTCATACCCTGATGGACCATTAGCCCTGAACTCTCTCCTACTCTTTAACCTCCATCTAATCCCAGCATGTCCAAAAAAGGAGAAAATGAAGTCTGCTGAAACACATGTCATCCAGCCTAGCAACAACTAAACACCAAACACAGCGCCCACAGAAGTCCAGTCCTCTTAAATCCACACAAAACAATGTAGTCTGAAGGAAAAATGGCCCAGGAGAAACACAAAACTATTAACCACAGAGAGCCGAGGGCCTCAGGAAAGATGGGTGTTGAAAAGTTTAACATTTATCTTTTAAAGGCTCAGAATTCTCCACATACGGCCGTCCTGTATAGACTTTGTGGTTGGCAGGACTTTATTAAACCCAGATGCATGCTCCCAGCTCACAGGCAGCAAGCCTTTGGACACAGATCTATTAACAGAGCTCAGAGAAACAGCGCTGTCAGACATGCTGCCAAAACGCCTGGCAGCCGACTCTTCCAGCTGCTTCATAAAACACAGACGCTGACGCCACGACCGTGACCATAAAGTCTAAAAAAGGACGACAAGGCGAGAGGAAGCCCGAACATGAAGAGCGCAGCAGTTTGACACAGCAGCATGCAGGGACTGAGAGGAGGCTGACATAAATACGGCTGCTAGAAGTACGATAAAACTAAACAGGACAACGAGGAGAAATGTTGCTTTCCTTGGCTGTGAAACGAGCTAAGTCTGCGGAGGATGAGGGTTAAAGATGAGACGGCTGAGTGTGTCAAAGGTAGATTTAAGAAGCAGAAGAAGAATGAACCTCCAGCTGTGCCGGCAGCTGCAGCTCGTCCCCGCACACCAGAAGGGAACCAGGGCAACAGGGACGGCCAAGAGTTCAAACTGAGGGTCTGACCCCTGCGGCGATATCTTCTCTATGTGGAGGTGCAGACTCTGATAACTGAGGCTTCTGAATCTTTGATCAGAAAGAGAGTAAGAAAGCGATCACGTTTTTATTTGTTTATTTTTACTACTGTCAGCTGATCAGTCTTGGGTTAGACGAGTTAAAATTCAAGTGCAAAGAGTGGAAATCTGGTTTATTTGGCGTCATGATGTTAAACGTTGCAGCTGCTACAAGGGCAAATTTGCTTAAGCTATGTCAATGCTTCCTGCAGCCAGAAGGTCAAAGGTTATCCCCGTCCTCCATGAGCCTGCTCGGTAAATATCGACATTCCTCTCCTCTAATTAATTGCTGAGGTTCAGAGCGTGCAGAGACTCCCACAAGAGAGCAGGGACTGAAATAGAGCTCAGCTGGTTCACATGAAACTTCACTGACTCTATTGGTGCAGTTGGGTTTGTTCAAGTCTGATCTTTCTTACATTTACACGGCAGACTGTACACTACACTGGCACTTCATGCAGGAAGCGTTTTGGCTTCAGAAAGACTTGATTTTTGGCGTGCATGTCGACAGATTTAGACTGCCAGCATGAGTAGAACACCTCGCTTGATTTTTCTGCAAGCTCAACACAAAACACAGAGAAAAATGATAAACGGAGGAAGACTGTCTTCACTCGTTATCAGCTATATTTATGTCACAAGCATGAAAGATACACTTTTGTTGTTTTCATACAATGCTTTTATTTTGAAACTGCATCCATGACAGTTATATGATGAAAGGAGCAACCTGCATTTGTCTTTATTGTTGCCTATGGTGAACTCCCACTGGAAAAAAGTTACAAGCCACAGCGGCTTGGTGTCTCTCTAACATGAGTCTGGTCCTTCCCAAGGTTTCTGCCTCTTAATAGGAAGTTTCTCGCGTCAACTCTGTCCCATCTTAAGGTTGGGTCTTGATAATTCATCAAACAATGAGCGCGGTCTTTTTCTTTGGAAAGCTTCTTGGGATAATAACTGTTGTGAATTGGCTCTATATAAATAAAATTTGATTGATTGATTGGCTGTGGGTCAGCAGGGAAAAAAAGACGAATTCAGTAAAGTGAAATATAAAAAACCTTTATGTTGGAGACACTGAAGCCATGAAGAGTCTAAAGTTTCATCAGTGAGTTCATCAGCTTCACTCTAAAGTCTCATTAGTTTCTCTGCAGTTGTTTCAGACTCTCATCAGCACATACCGTCCCAGCGTCTCTCTGTCAGCCTGTGTCCTGAGCAGGATGACATTAATCCTGAAGTTAATGTGGCTGCAGAGCGCTCTTCAGAGCGAGTGGGCGTATGAGTGACACACTTAGAGGGATTTTATACGTTTCTGGCTGTAAAACTCAATACTCAGGCCTCATCTCTCTCATCTCTTTACTCCATCATTCATTCTCCTCTTTTTACTGCTCATGCTTTCTTTGAAGTCCGGCCTCTGTTTTACTGCAGAGAGCAAGCTGACCCTGGTCTACCCTGGCTCATCTTATCAAGAACTCATGTGCACCCACATCAGGAATCATTCAAGGCAAGTTTAAGTATCGCCATGGTGATAAGCTCCAGGTTACAGAGCAGCCTATCAGAGAAGAGCAGGTGAATGTGTGAACGCTGCTGGACAAACGCCTCTTTAGATGTTTTCTCCGGCAGTAAGTGGTCAGTAAAGGTCTGTACGGGTTCAACTGTTTAAAAGCATGTCGGCGTGTGACCTGCAGGGTCAGGTGACCGACTACCAGCTGTCACTCTGAAAATCTGTGTGTGTGTGTGTGTGTGTGTGTGTGTGTGTGTGTGTGTGTGTGTGTGTGTGTGTGTGTGTGTGTGTGTGTGTGTGTGTGTGCGTGCGTGCGTGCGTGCATGCGTCTCAGGAGCTTTTGCACGCCGCTCAGAGGTTTTTTGACCCACATTCTGCTCTCGACGATTGACTCCAGAGAAATCTGTGTTAATCAGCTGCCTCGCTGGCCGGTCTGTCTGCTGCCACTCACAGGGTGACAAAGCAGATCAGCAGACCTCATTAGGAGTCGGGAAACAATAAGATCAGATTTTCACTTCTCTGAGCCGCCTTCCTCCCAAAGCTGCCCTCTTTTTGGCCTTCTTAAAAAAGGTATTATTGAAGTCATGCTGTGCAGAAAATACATTTCTAAAATCCAAGGTTCTACTCTCAGAGATATTAAGTCTTTCAGCAGAATTTGCTTCTGATTGCAAGAAATTTGGTCAGTAAAATTCTACTAAAAGTGAAATACTGAAGTTTTGAAGCTCCTGTGAGGAACTTAAAAAACTTAAAAAAGACAAGAAATCTCCCGTTGCTGTAAAGCTTTCAATGGAAAAAAAATCATCAGAAGCTACCATAGCTGTTTGTTCTCTAACACCCTTATTTTTTTAAATTCCTCACCAGCGAAAAAGAGCTTCAATTCAAGGTAAAAAATAAACTCTATCTCACCTCTTGAGTTGGTCGCCATATCTGCCACCTTCTGAAAGGCATCTAAGAAGGCCACAGCCGCCAGAATGGTGGTCCTGCAAAATCACAGACATATCCTCACTGTGACTGTACATACAGATGCATCTTAAAAAATAAACAAGTATGGTGAAAAAGTTTCTCTTCATTTTGTTCAAACACGTTCATATATCACACATAAATATTGCATATTCAGTGAAATATTCGAAACACTTATTTTAATGTCTTTGATTCTGTTCGCAGCTCATTCAAATCTAATCTCTAGCATAAATCAACGTGGCGTGGCATTGCGTGGCGTGGCATTGCGTGGCCTGGCGTGGCGTGAAGGCCATCAGCCAGTTGCTCTACTGACGTCTTATTGAAGCTCAGGCTGCTTTGATGGTGGTCTTTATCATCTATTTGAGTCTATATGGAGTTCAATTCAGTCTGATCTAGCAATTCAGTCTGATCTAGCTTCATAACATCATGGTCAGTGACCCATTTGGTAGATGTTTAGGAGAAATAGACTTTCATCTGAAAAACAGGACTTTGGTCCACTTAGCAATAGTCCAGTTATTTTTCTTATTAGCTTAGGTGAGACCCTGATGATGTTGTCTCTGGTTTAGGAGGGTCTTGGCAGCAAGAACACATGTAATCCATTTTTGGACAGATCTGTGTGTTGTGGCTCTTGATGCTCTGACTCCAGCTTCAGTCCAGTCCTTGTGAAGCTCCCCTAAGTTCTTGAATCTGCTCTGTTTGATGATCCTCTCAGGTTTGCTCTTATCCCTGTTTCTTGGTCTCCTTCCAGTCAACTTTCCATCTATCTGCTTCATACAGACTCTGTGAACAGCCAGACTTTTTAACTATGACCATCTGTGGCTAATCCTTCATGATCGTCTTCTGGACTATTTGCATAATAATTTACTCTAATGAAAAATTCAGATATTTAAACAATACTTTTCACAATATTTCTTTTTTTTTAGATTCCCCTGCAGAGTCTGTAAATTTACTTGTCATTGTCACCTTCTCTGTAGGCTGGGACAAAACTCACCTGAGCTGAGAGTGCAGCTTTGTGGCCTTGGTGCTGAAGTCTTCCCACACAGGGTACGAACTCTGGAGAGAGAGAGAGAAAAACAAATCAGTCAAATGAAGATCATGGAGAGGATATTTATTATGCACACACAGTTTTCAGAGGACATAATGTTCTCTGCAACAAGACTCAATCAGGTCCTGGTTTCTAAAGTTTTAATGCTGGTTTTATGAAGTCTTGAAGGGCTTTATCTTCTGTTAATACACACTGATGAGACAGCTTGGCTTCTCCCCCCAGGTTACAAACAGGTTGGTGTATAAACTCTCTGCTCTGACTTGTTTCTGTAAAGGTCAGCAGGATTTTTTTCACAGCTCCCTGGTGTTATTATTGTCCTTAATCAGCCTAAGCGCCCTCCTCTCTGTCTCTGCCCTGAGCTGGTATGTGTGTCTACATGTTTGCTGCACATGTATGATCTCTATAAGCTCTCCGATCATATGGATGTGTGTGTTTGTGTGTAAGAGGGGGGGAGCAGGTAGCGTGTCCGGTGTTTGAACGATCTGGATTAGATTTAGCTTGGGATCATCACACGCTGCCTTGAGCTACGAGAGCAGAAGCCAAACATAAAACACATCCAAGGCTAGATCCCATTAGAGCTGAAGTCTGGGCCCTGCAGAGAGAAGAGGGAGGAGGATACACACCCCGACTAAATATAAAGTCTTCATCATTTCTACAGTAACCTCCAAATGCAGCACTGACAGCGTTTAACTCCTGGCCCCTCTCAGATGGAGCCTGCAGCTCTAAAAGTGATTTAGGAGCCATCAGTCCTTACAAAAATGTTCCTCCCTTCCTCGCTGTCTGCACTTGACTCCAACAGGTGTCTAATTAGATTGTGTGGCGTGTGACTCCCAGAGGCTGGAGGAGTAGCTGCCAAGACAGCTGAGGGAGGAGGGTGATGGAGCGGGCAAACACAGCGACAAGCAGGGACACACCCAGACGCTTTGAGGAAGGAAGGAGGAGACAAACAGAGGGAGCCAGGAAGGAAAGGAAGATCATTCGGCTGTGTTTTGTCACTCATAGGAGGGTGAGGTCTAGACTATCAGCCTTGAGCGAGCAGACAGAGTGTGGTGTTCAAGGACGTTAGGAAGGGTGGCTGTTTTCCCACACTTTAAACTAGGGTTAAACAAGGAGGGACACTTTGGTTCCTTTTAATAACACAAATGTATAATGACGCATTCTCAGTTCAATCTGCAGTTCAATGGGAGTGAAAGGCACCAAAGTGAAGGATACGATGACCCTGAAGATTAAAGATGCAAAAATAACATGATTGGCTGCCTGCACCAGACGCTGCATTCATTTTTAGTCTGTTTTTTCATTTGCACTACTTATTTTTGAGACTTTTATCCATTACACGTGTTTGCATCACTTAGCACCTTTATGTAACATCATTTTGTTCAGCTGTTTGCAGGATATATAGATAAATGCAAATAAAAAACTAGCAAAACACATTTCACAAAACAGACTTTACAATATACACAGGAGTGTCAGGGCCTGATTAAAAGATTTTGAAGGAAAAAATCATGATGTTACGAGAATATTGTTGTAAGAAAAACTGTTATCAGTTATGTAGCTTACTCCTGAGGAAATTGATGACATTATAATCATAATAAATAACTTTTACTCTCTTTACTAAATGTAAGGACTTCATTCCTGTGTAATGTGACTTTAAAATACCCTGAAATAGATTTAACTGAGAACTTATTCTGTTAAAATATAACTTTCATCTTGTGATTAAACATTATGGCTTCAATTTTCTACTTTATTTTTCTGAAAAGATTATTTTATAGGACATGATTCTTGTAAAAATTTGATCTGAAGAAAAATCAGTGAAAAGATTTATGTTTTTTTTTACTAAGTCTTCTTTTTGTTGATACATATCAAAGGTGTAAATAAGTATTATGAACAGTTTTTCACAGCACTTTAAACATGGTCAGCTGTCTAAGAGAATTGCTGAGTGAACATGCTGCTGGCTGAAAGCAATACTAATCGTCACAAATAGGGTTGGACTAGTTTTACTGCTAACTACACTTGGAGATGTCATCCTAATTTCATTATAAAGCTAGTGCTGGGCGATTGGACGATATATATCGTTGGCACGATAGAAAATGTCTATCGTGCCATTTTTATTCTTATCGTTTCGGGCGATAGGTTGTATTTAATCCATAGAGCTTGTGCCATCAGATGATTCATAGTAACAACAACAATAATTGCACATTCAGTAAGTGTATTTGGTGTCGAACGGGAAAGAAAACAATATTTTCTTACAAAGAAAAGGATGCGTTGACATGTAGGCTTGCATTTCTCTTTCGATTTTGCGACATGACGCCGCTTTACGTGCCCTCTTTATGTCCAGCGCCTCCCGCCGTTGCGGGTTACCTGGGTTACACACGTGAGGGGATCATTGTAAGCAGTGCTTAATTTGTGCCGGAGCAAGTCGGAGCGCGATCCGGGACCTCTTTTGATCGGATCTGGGACCTATTTCAGCCGCTCCGGCACCTGTTTCATCTGCTCTGGGACCTTCCCTGTGGAGGATGACTTTTTTCGGGAATTCCCGTGGGTCACGTGATTCCCGCGGGATGGGAGTCATTTTTTTTATTAATCTCTTGATCGGGACGGGACGGGAAAAAAAGCAACGGGAGTGGGCAGGAGCGGGAACAACATGAAAAGATGATCTTTTTCAGCCGTGTTTAACAACCAGATGAACAGGTGCGTCCATTTTTGTAGTCATCTCTCAGTGAGAGTAAACACTCTTGACCGCGCTAGCAACACAAAAGAACTACAACAGCGGTCTGACTTCCTGTCAGCTGGGAGCGCGGCTGCGCATTTGTACCCTTCAAGCCAGCAGCGAGGAAACGTAATTTTGTGACATTCTGTAGTTTTTCAATCATTTCTGGAGTCGTGGCGAATCAAATCACCTTACCTGTCTGCCCCTGATAGGCGAATAAAGCGCTCGGATTCATGCTCGGGTCTTGCTACGTGCTTCAAGAGTAAAGTAAACAATGATGGAGGCAGAGAGCAGCTTTGGAGGAGAAACATCTAGCAGTGTGAACAACCTCTTCAAAAGAGCCCTAAAGACCTACCTTTTTAATAAAGCCTTTGGTTAGTTTTCCTCTATGCTTTATGCTTTTACTACCTTGCCTCTTACATTGCAACTCTATATATTTTATTTTTTTTAAATTCTTTTTTATGCTAATCTGTGACTGTCATTCTATTGCTTTTTTTTATTGTTGCTGCTCTTTTTTTACTGTGTACTGTAGCACTTTGAGATTTTTTTGTAAATGTAAAGTGCATTACAAATTAAATTTATTATTATTATTATTATTATTATGGAGTGCTTCGGCTCACACTATCAGCGTTTTCTGTAAGTGTTACATAACTTTGGGTGAGCACAGACATGAACGCACTTCAGCCACGTATTTGTTTATTCATTTTTCTAGTTTTAAGTGCTGGTCTTGTACTGGTACTGTAATAGTGCAGCTGTATACACTTAAATTTTTCATAGAACTGAAAGCATACCATAGCTATATCGTGATATATATCGTTATCGTGATATACATTTTTTTCCATATCGCCCAGCACTATATAAAGCTACGACAACTTTTATGTTGTCACTCACAAAAGGGTTAGTGAATGAAGTTTGGAGCATCTTTCACAGATTGAGAACAAAGTGACACCTGTAGCTTATTAAGAGTTACGGAGGCGACACTACAGAAGCTTAACTATGGCAGACTGTCTGCAAAATGCTGCAGAAATGTTGATCACACACCATCAGGGTCATTTTAACACTGATAACACTGTTTTATAGATTGTGTACTTTATGTTAGAGCCATTATCTATCAACATTAACATGCAGCTGATAATACTGTGCATCCCTCCTCTGATGATGTGCATACTTCTGTATGTATGTTAATGTGGAAAGTGAGGGGGCTGGATGGCGGAATATTCTCATCTACTACAGTGGGACCCAGCAGAAAATTGAAAAAAAAAAGTTTGGAAGCATCTCCATGACCCATCAGGCCCTCAGAAACAACTTTTTTGAGGTGAACTATCAATGACAACAACAGACAACAACAAAGTGGTGCAAGCAGAGAGTGGGATGTTCGTCAAAGCTTCCACTAAGACAGCATCAGAGTGTTTCTAAAAATGTTATGTAAATTATATCAACAGCTGAAGAGTCTGAATGAGCACTTAATCTAGTTGTCAGAGTTGCAGTTTCATCTAATCTACCGGCATATCCGCATACATGATACCTGCTGGGAGCAAAGATCCTGGTGTAGTCAGCTGTTAGTGGTAAAAGCCAGTAAGATGTACTTTTTTCTGTCTGTTTACAGTCTGTCCAACAGCAAAAAGGTAGTCAAAGTCATGAGAAATGATACACTCTCATTAGGTAACTGTGAAGGGTCCCACTGAAGACCACCGAAACCCCATCCTGTTCCCATCAGTTCTGCAAAATCTGTACCCTTAGACTAGCGGTCAGCTGATATCAGTATCTCAACAGCCCGTGCCAATATCAACTTTGTGAAAGCAAGTTGGTCTTTAACTGATCCAAGGACGGGTGATAAATTATCCTTCGCGTTTTATCGTCAGAAAAGTCCTCTATGATAAATATTTGCCATCTCACGATAAATGCGATAAACGTAGATGATGACATAGGTGCATGCGACAGACTTACAGCCATAGCCCACACAGAGCAGAATAACAAACAAACATGGCTGAAGTTAATGAAGATGTTTCTGAGCAGTTTGTTGCTAAACCAGAACCCACATGAGGGATTTCCTTCAAAATTGGGGCTTAGACGAGTGCAATCAGGTATGCCTGACATCGGACAGTAGATCTACTGCTGCTGTTCACTCTGTGCAATCAGAGTTTTCAATAAATGTTGAAAATGTTTTCACATTTCAGATTTGTTTGATGTCACTAGTTTTCTCCATAACCTACCACTCAAACTTGTGGTTAAGTATCTTATTTGACTATGCCAACTGGTGTTCTCAAGACAAAATGAGTCAAAAACATGGATCGAAATTACTTTTTTTTTTTTTTTTTATCGGGACTTTTATCGTTATCGCCGGAATTGCAAAACTTATCATGATAAATTTTTTAGCCCACATTACCCAGCCCTCAACTGATGTGATAATGTCACGAATGAGGTGACGCAATTTGCATGACTTATAAGCACAAATCGCAAAAATTGGCGAAACATTCAATGTACCTTAGAACTGAAAAATCTAAGCTCATTCCTACCATGAGAACCAATCAGCACAGAGATCTACCTATTATGTTTGTCATCAACAGACGAGTGGAGGTTCAAGTTCAACCTCAACCATGTTTAGCGTAAACAGACTCAAACGGTGTGAAGGTATCCCTCCTCTCTTGTACTAATTTATGTGTTTGGGCACTTCTGCAGACACCAAATATGACACGCAAATGGGGCAAGTTATTCACGTCAATCAATAAAGGACACAGAAACAACATGAAGGCGTTCAAGCGGGTTAATGGATTCATTTACATCTGGTGTGAACGCAAAACAAACGAAAACAAGCTGAAGTTCAGAGGATATGTTATAAAATAAATGTAGACAGGAGAAAACCGTGGAAACATCACCACAGTGGACTTTGGGGTTTCTTATATTAATGTCAGCAGCATTATTAGACTGCATTACTGTGTATATTATAACAGACTCTGTATCCAATAACAGCCAGAGGCTGTTTTAGACTGAATAAGCGGTCTGTGTGTGTATCATGTCAGTAATTGTACACTGTGCTGTAACATTGTTCACAATCAGCATGATCAGCACAGGAAGGCGAGCCCGGGGGGGCTAAAGCTGCTCTGACAGGCCGGCGTGGCCCAGCGAGGCGGCAGGAATGAGGTCAGATCTCAGACAGTGGACATGGACGCCATGCTGACTCAGGGCTTCGGACTCATTCATCAGTGCTGCTTATCAATACATACTACCTCTCTCTCTCTCTCTCTGTTTATCCAGGTTTGAGCCCAGCACAAAAGTAGAAAATAAACCAGCATAAATAAAAATATAGAAGAAGTTGACATCTGAGTGTGTGAGCTGTGGATCAGTCATGAATCATCTCCAGTCTGACGCTTGACTGAGCGAGCTCCACGCTCAGGCTGCAGGGAGCTGATGAATACGTTCACACTTTCCATCTGTTGTCGTGAACAACAACAGACCACCCTGCTCCAACTTCCTTCACTTGACCCCTCCCCCAACATTGACACACAAACACACACACGCTCTTACATGTGTGTTACAGATAATGGGAGACTTCCACTTTCTGCCACAGAAATCTTTTTACCTTATCGGGAAAGTGAAAAATGTGTGTTTCAAGTAAATTTAATATTATTTCTGGTGTTACTAAACAACATTTAACTGAAGAGGAGAATTCTACCACGTGGGTTTAACATCAGGGAGCTAAATCGAAGCCCTCTTAATGCTTTCTACTGCTTTTTTTCTCTATAAGAGCATCCTCCCCAGTCTACCATTTAATCCAGACAAAAATACCTTGCAGCCTGGGCAAGGGAAGGGTTATTTGAGGTCAAATAGTCTCCTAGTTGACTATTATATTCCAAAACAACTAACAAATGCTTCAGCAAGTGGCAAACGGGGTGAATGCTAAACAAAGACAATCATCACTTTGACAGCTCCTTTGTAAGTCTGGTGAGGTTTTGTTTACTACCCAGCTTCCTAGAAAAAAAGTATGCTGTTCAACTCTCGACAGTGACAGCATGCTACAGAAATAACAAATACTCAAAGTAAATTATGTATTTAAGTATCTAAAGAGGGCTGGATAAGATTTTTTTGTCTAAAAATACCACATTTTGTCCACAGGGGGCACCAAAATCAACACAAAAAGAACGCTCCTCACAAGAGCTTTAAAATGAGAGAATAAACACCACCAGCCTTGTTAAGATTTAACTGCAAGATTTGGAGCTTTCAAACTCACGTGGAGGTGTTTGCTAATCTGCAGACTTTGTTGGAAAGTGGAGGCTGCATTCGCAAATCAACCAACACATACAAGAAATCATAAAATAGGAGAAAAGCTTCAGGAGACCATCACCGAGCAGCAAAGGTGCTGGCAAAACAGAAGCGCACGGCACAGCAGCTTAGTGTTTATCTGTCATTATCCTGATGACCATGCCTGATAGTTTGACCGTGATGAATATTGTTTTGTTTGCATGAAGAGGAAGTGTCAGATTAAAGGCTCTCATGGTTGTGTTTGTGTAATGATTTACAAAGTACACCCAGCAGACAACTTTGAAACAATCCACTCATGCTGTCAGTGTTCAGTCTCCGTACTTGGTATCTCAGTGTTTTTGTTCAGCAAATTTACACAAGTGAATCAAGCTCACAAAAAAGACCTGAATAAGTTGGTTTTTATCTGAATCATTAACAACATCTAATATTAAACTAGAAAAAAAGTGAGTTAGTTACATGTTTTTGTTCTTTGAAGACTGTTGACAGATGAAAATGATCAACTATTAAAAGATGAAATCCGTAAAAATAACAGTGTAGTAGTGATAAAATGAGTGTTTGATTCGGTTCTTATGAGGAGGTCAGAGTTTGACCCTGAATCAAACACATTAAAGAGCCTCTGAGGGGGAAACCAGGTCTAAACACAGCAGCAGTCCCTGTAAGGTGCACAGATTGGCACTCCAAAGTAATGGTTCGATGAAAGCAGTGCCTGACAGACCTGCTGCACATTATGCAAATATCACAAAGGGAAACATGTTTCATCCTCAGCTTGTCCCGCAGCGGTGTTTCCAGTGGGGGAGGACCCGGTGAAAGAGACAAAGGCAGTAAAAATATGTGTCTGATCAGCCTCTGAGCTCCACAAAGGTCACCCAGGACTGTTTCCCACTTTGAGTGAAAATGTGTGTTACCTTCATGTCGTTGACGATAGCCTGGAATAATCCACCCAGCGCTCCACACTCTTTCTCCACCGACTCCATGGTGCCAAAACAAACGAGAAGCTCACAGGGAGAAAAATCTGAGTAGAAATCCGGTTAGTGACGCGCTTTCAAACATCAGACATGGAGGTCTGTGTTTTCGTCCCTCCGCCCTTCCTCGTCCTCGCCGGGAACACCGTCAGGTCAGCAGCGGAGAGGATGTAAGCCTCAGCCCGCAGCCTGCAGCCTGCGGAGCGCTCAGACAAAAAGAAATGTGCTGCTCGGTGGAGCCGCACCGGGAGCCGCTGCTCGCTCCGCTGCTCGGACGCACGGGGGGGTTGGAGAGATCAGGAGCGCGCCTCAGCCGGGTCAACTATAGCCGGGAAACGTGGAGGGCACATGCACCAGGGCTCCACATGATAACCGAGTAAGCACGGATAACGTAGAAAGAGGGGGAGAGAGAGAGGAGGGGGCACCACGGGAGCCGGGATCGGTCGCAGGTCTGGGACGCGGGGACGCGCTCCGTTGTTGGAGCAGATGTCTCGGGTTGGAGTCTCCCGTAACACGATCCATGGGAATGGAAAGGGGGCAGGACTAGGTTTTTTCTTCTTCACATAAGGAGGGTGAGGAGGAGGGGACAAGGAGGAACACCCCCCTCTCCCTCTCTCACCCTGCCACCCCCTCCTTTCCTCCCCCATTCAAACAAAAGTGAATCCTGTGTTGTAGGGAACAATGAGGAGATGTAAAGCAGGATTTCCTCGGGCCCTGGTGTGGATTCACACACGCGTCTGATGGAGATCGTGTGTGTCTATGAGTGGGTGTTAGCTCATTTGAGGAAGCAGTGACAGGCTCACTAAGAACAGGTAATCTGTTCAATCAACATCACAAAAGAGCGAGGACAGGACAGAATCCATTCTGTAATGGATTTAAATGAGATACTTCAGCGTTTTAGGAGGCGTTTGTTTCATCCTTACAAGTTAGACATCAACAAACGATACACTGCTCTGAATCTGTCGAGCTTTGCTGAAAAGTTATCCTAGCCTCACATGAATGTTTGGAGACCAGCTGCTATGGTGGCCCAGATGGTCAACTCAACAAAAGTTGTAACTGTTAAAAAAATAAATAACTGAACGACAAAGTAAGTGATTTATTTCACTAAAATACAAAAATAATATGGATAGATTTGTTTTTTTTTATGATAAACATTTCACAGAACATTTTTTAATTAAAAGCTAAAAACCAGTTTGCATGGAATCTTCTTTATATGCAATATTAAGCTCTCATGTCCCTGTCAAATAAAGTAAATAAAAGAGATTGTAAATATTTAATGGGACTCAAAAGCATTGTATAATGTTGATAAGGGCTTTTAAATAATACTACAATACTATTTAAATGGAAAAAACTATAAAAAATTATATACTAAAATAAAAAATATGTTTGAGGGCTAAAAGATTTGTCACAAAGTTCAAATATATTTCATAAAATATTTTGCTTTTATGTAAATGTAATGCTTTTCTGTCTTGTTACATATTTTTGCATTTTATAAATTGTTTTTCAGGCAATATTTGATAAAAAGTTTTTGTTTTTCATTCATTTATGACTTTTTTTAAAGTTTTTGCTGTAATTGAATATTTTTCCACTTGATGAAATAGTTATAGTGTACAATGAAATAGTGGTTAGTTTGTTAGCCGATCTCAGTCATAAAGAAATGCCTCATCATGTCACCTGGAGCAGCTGAAAAGCTGAAAGAAAAGTTTTCTTAATCCACATTATCATCATCTATTTCTGAAGGTGGTTAGGTGAAAGGTGTTATTTTAATCCCCATCAGCATCTCTGTGGGAATAGCCTATAGGTTGGTATATTATTACTTATCTGTTCTGTTTTTAGAGTTTAATGGTTCTAGTTCAGCGGTCTCCTAAATTCTGAATAATGTGAGGACTCTTTGGCAATCATAAAATTCTGTTGTAACGATTCAATGTTTTGTGTATGTTCGTGGGAAGTTTTTACTAACTTGTATTTGAATACAGTTTTATCTTCCGCAATAAAAGTAACAGTTTTAGGACAGTTATGAAGAACAGCTGTCACGTGTAAGTTGAGGTAATGACATCAGGAGCACTTTTTGAAACCTCCATTTGAAGACGGGAGGTCAGAATGCAAAGAAACATCCTCATGTGGACATCAGACCATGTACAAAAACAGGTCTGTGTGAACTGTAACCCACTCTGAGATAAAACCCCACTCTACTAACATCCAAAATATCCCTGCAAACAGCTGACACCCCCCACCCACCCCACACACACACACACACACACACACACACACACACCGATCCCCATGACAGGGTGTGATGTATTTTAGCACATCATCACCGCTGTGTTACAGAGAGTCTGAGGGGCTCAGGGGTCACTCCACAGCATTCTTGCTCAACATCCTGTCAATTTATTATCCTGCACATCTGCCACACACATCTTCCTCTCACATCTGTCTGTCCCACTCCATCAGAGCAGAGTACTTTAAATAACACGGATCAGCCCGGTGAGAAGCTGCGGCACACGTGAGCAGAGGTGGGGTGTTTTTTTATTGATTATGTCTGAGTTGAGTTTCAAAGCCTTAAGTGTAAAAGTAACTGTACTTTTTGATGACTCTGTTTTCTACCTGTATATACAATGTTGTCACCCTATTAAAATAATGGCCAAAGTCATTTTTTTGGCCCAGATCAACTCTTGATAATGTTGGCCATCCCTGGTAAAATTGCCTAAATCCTTAGTTGAAAAAATCATCCTTTCATCCAGGTGACAATATAAATAAGTGCCCCATAGATGCTTCATAGATGTCCTTTCAGTTAATAGAACTAAGGAGTGCCCTCTGAATGCACATGTAGTGTATACAAAGTTAAAAACCCCTTTGACATCCTTTAAAGTATGTGAAAAGTAAAATTGTGCCATCTGAATGTTCAACCAGTCTACAACACATGGGAGAAAGTGCCCTATATGGTTACTTTCTAGAGTTTTAAGTGTGGATGTGCTTCAAGTGTGTGAAATGGTAAAAACAGCCTTAGGTTGACTGTTTTGAAACCCCTCAAAATCATGTAAAAACATGTCATTTAAATGCATTTTGTGTTTCAGGAATAGTTTTTCTCTGGATGTCCCACCCAATGCTCAAATGTAAAAAAGGCCCTCTCTGGATGCATTTCCAGGGCCAGAAAAGGGCCCTCTGGTTACCCCCCAAACAATAAAATGTATTAAAACAAATATTAGATGCCCTGTCAGATGAGAAGTGAAAACAGTGTCATAGGGATGCCTTTAAAACCAGAATGTCGTGGCGCTCTCTGTTCAAATAAAAACAGGGCATAGATTTGAATATTAAAACTTAAAAATACTAATTTGATGCCTGTATTCAATATTTGTTATTATGAAAACAACAATAAAACACATAAATAAGAATGACTGTTTTTTATGACACTCTCAACATTATCTTTGTTTTGTCCCCTCTGTGCCCTTGCAGATAAGTTTGGTGACAAAGCAGCACAGTCAGTGTTGTACCATAACATCCTTTATTGTTCTCATGAAGGAGAAAACATGACTTCTTCTTTGGATATTTATAGAGCGACCAGATAGCAGCGTCCTGTCATGAGAGCGGGGCGCAGAGTCCTGCAGTCGAGCTCTGCAGGAAGAAAAAACTCAAAGAAAACACAATCTCTGTATTTTTATTAAGTTGTGGTGACTGGACCAGGAGCTATGTCTGGTTTTGTATCTCCAGTCTGTGTGGACAGACAGTCAGGAGGTAGAGAGTCCGGGAGCAGAGCCCAGCTCACCACAGCGCTCACTGGCATCTCTGAGAAAACAGCCATAAAACAGAAAATATCCCCAACACACACGCTGACATTCCTCCCCCACCAACATCCTCCATCCACCCCCTGTGGAAAAAAGGCTCTGCTGTGAGCGCTGCCATACCGCTGATGCATGTGAGTTAGGAAAAATCTGACGGTTTCTGTTTCTCGCTATAAGACCCAACAACTGAAAGCAATCATCGGGTCTAAATGCATCAAGCTGGGGGACTCAGAAGATTTCGGAGGCTTATATAACCGACTTTAGGGGCTTTTGTATTTTCATCCACCATTGTGCGTTAAGGCCTGTTTATTTTTCAGCCTTTTCATACAGGAGGGGGACTTGGGGGGGAAATACTTCATCATTTCATTTGCAGGAAACACAATAGCAGCACTTTGGCATTAAGCTTGAAGATAAAGAATCGGGATAACATCAGGTGCTGCGGTGTAACAGCAGGTTACGTAAGTTTTTCAAAGGTGGGAACGTTAAAGTCAACATTTGTCCTCTTAATCTTCGTATTTCTGCCTCCACTCTCTTCCTGCTCCTGGTATTTCATGTTCCCTTTAAACTTGACCCCACCAGAAGCTGATCCCCTCAGAGAGGCTCTGTGATGTACCGTGACCTCCGACCCCACAACCAGGCCCTATCCATGATTTAGTGGGAGTCCTTGTCTGGTCCGGTTTACCACCCCTATGAAGGATAACATTCAGGGAGATGTGACCCCCAGTGGAGTCCTAGCTGAGGTCAGCCTGGAGGTCGCAAGTCCTCTTGACCATGAAGTCTCTCAGGATTTATCACCTCAGGTTGAGTTTGGTCGGGGTGTTGTGTAAGACTGTTTCGTAATGTTTTAAATTACCCACCTGCAGGATTTAAAGAGGATACAGAAATAAGCAGAGAAGGCTTCTGGTTTTCCTGAGACTGAGATAAAATCATCGCCATTGATCCCACGCAGAGAGAGAGAGAAGAGACTGATCGTATCAGACGAGGAGAGGATTACACAGCATGGTAGAAGAATTCCTGCGGCTGATTTGATGCTTCATTTTCCTCTGTGAAGCTCATCACCATTAAATGATCTATTTTAACAGAATGAAACGAGCTGCTGCTCTCCGTCTGTGAGGGAAAAAGCAGCAAAAATGTTGCGTCTCTTTGTGGGAGAGTTTAATACTCAAAGGAGAGATGTGAAAAAAGAGTAAATATAAGTTTAATAAAAATGACCCCTTGCTTATCGCTTCTTTCAATGAAGTGATGGTGATCTTATGTTCACATCAAGTGCGATTAAGATTATTTTTGAGTTACAAGTAAAGCTAATGTTCTTGTTGGACGACGCAAATGACGCCGAAACTGCTAACAGCTAACATCAGCAAGCTAATTCAATATTCATATATTCATATCTGCTAACCTTGATAATTTCCTAAAAGGTCATTACGTTAGAGTTTTAATTCAGCTTCTCGGATACAGTGTTGGTTTCAGTCCTTCTGTCATCACATTCAGCTGCTGCGTTGGTATCCTCAACACATCGACACTAGACTCTCTTATAACCACAACCCTCCTCCTTCTTCAAGTGCATTTGTAATTTGTGACGGTTATTGTTGCAATTTCCCACCACATACATGGTTTTGGTTTAATATTTATTTCAAGATTTGCAGATTTGGTTGAGATAGTCTGTTGATGAACCTAAGATCATGACTGAAATCGCCTTCAAGTCACCTGTCTTCATATGAGTGCCAAAAATAAGGTGGACAGACCTCTGCTGCATACATGTCAACTTGACATTGGATTTAAAAAGGTTAACACACATAGTTAACAGTATATGGATCAACAGATTTGTCTTTTGGTCCTTAGCTAACCCCTGTTCTGGAGTGACGAGAGGC